ATCCTTTTTATCTACTGAATCTTATCCTTTTTATCTACTGAATCTTATCCTTTTTATCTACTGAATCTATTCCTTTTTATCTACTGAAACTTGAATCCTTTTTATTTACTGAAACGCTTGAAATTGTTAACAAAATTTCCTAGAGAACGATTTTTGGACTCCCCCCTAGGCCCTCCCTCCCTCTCCTATCAATATTGTACATGGAATACACATGGATATAATTGATCATGTGGTGGAGCTTGGCCCCCTAGCCTGTTCTAGTCGCAGCGCTCGGCCCAGAAATTTTAAAAAAAAAAATATTTTTGCTGAAAAATGAAAATAAGTTGTTATGTACAAAAATGATAAGAGGGTGGGGGGTCAAAAAATCGTTCTCTATGACGAAATCATTCCGCTTATCACATTTCAAGAATTTTATTTTTACCGTAGCAATGCTAAGTAATTGATTAAATTGACATAACTGAATGTTTTTGAAATTTGAGTTTTTATTAGACGTTTCAAAACTATTGATTTAAACCTAGATAAGACATGGACGATCCAATTAAAAGTGGACGAGGAAGAGGTGGCCGTGGAGCCCCATTCGGTGGTCCGACAACTAAGAAAGAACTAAGGTACATTCAAATATAGTTTTTTAAAGAAAACTATTTAAAAATATTTTTTTAGACGACCGATGTTTGCTGCGTCTCCGCCTCCTCCGGCTGAACCGGAGGATCCGCCTGCCGTTTCCGAAACCTCCGCCGACGATGTTGCAGAGCGCCTCAACCAGATCAATATTCAATCCGACGACGGAAACTTCAATGTGAACGCATCTGAATTTGTTCCAAAGTTTGGATTGAGTGTGGCCGCCGACGCTTTCTTTCCTTATCAGGAGGAGGAGATCATCCCAATCCAAGAGGAAGAGGTTCAGTTTTATTTTTTTTATCTTTTTTTTGGATAAAAATTACCAGAAATATTATTCTTGATAAAATAAGGGGTTCAACCCTCCACTATAGCAGTGACATCTATGATTTCAAGGAGGTGTTCAGACCCTGACGGATACTAGAATTCCCTGAAAATATATTTTTTTAATGATACCCCTTCCTTCTTCGACAAATTCCCACTATGTACCAATCTTCATTTATGTACAGAAGCATGGTCCTGTCGTTCCAATAATCTACGAAGCTATTCACCAACCTATATGTATGTACAGAAACATGGTCCTGTCGTTTTAATAATCTACGAAGCTATGTACCAACCTATATTTATGTACAGAAGCATGGTCCTGCTGTCTCTATACTGTACGAAGCTATGTACCAGCTAACCCTTGAACCTGGAAGATTTGACAGTATTGCTCGACAATTAACGCAGGATTTAAACCTTGTTATAAAAGGTAACTTTAATGTGTTCTTAAAGGGACTGATTTTGTTATTTCAAGAGACTCTCCGATTTACAACAGTTATCTTTAAATGAATAAGAAATCCATGTAGCTTCCTTTAAAACTTTTCAAATGAGGAAACGACGTTATATTCCACACTATTGACTAGATAAAGGTTTCAAGGGTACCGTTGTGAATTGGGCATTATCCGATTTATATTTCGGGTCTTTTGAAATTACAACGATAGTCCCTTAGAGATAAAAAGTCATAAAAGGATTTTAAGAAAAGAAAACGTTTTTAAAAATTGAGAAAATAAGAAAAATGTAATATTTTTGAACAAAAAGCATAAAACAAGTGAAGGTTTTATTTTCTCAACCCCTGTTTTTTAATATTTTTTTAAAAAACTTTTTTTTTAATCTTTATTAATCAATGCTCAATAAAAAACAGTCCTTTTTACCAAGAAAATTGTAATTAAATAAATGTTTAGAATATTCTACAATGGAGACTTTGGCTGAGGTGATTCTTGAAAATGGAATCAATGAACCTAACTTCAGATATACTGGAGCAAGGTGAATAGAAATATATATAACTAGCATAGTTACTTCAGATATACTGGAGCAAGGTGAATAGGAATATATATAACTAGCATAGTTACTTCAGATATACTGGAGCAAGGTGAATATGAATATATATAACTAGCATAGTTACTTCAGATATACTGGAGCAAGGTGAATAGAAATATATATAACTAGCATAGTTACTTCAGATATACTGGAGCAAGGTGAATAGAAATATATATATATATAACTAGCATAGTTACTCCCGCCGTTTATCCGCATTTAGACGCTTTTTATCGGGAAACTAACTTTTCGCTATAAAAGTCGACCCACTGTAAAAAAAACTGTAAAAAAATGTTGCTCTCAAAACCCAAGTCTGAACTGTTTAAAAAGCTTCTTTTGTCAAAAATCGGTAAATCTTAAACTAAAATGTTTATGACCTGGAGCCGGATCCATTTTTTTCCCGGGCTGATCTGCATCAAAATAAAATGCACTGCTAACAGTATAATTATTTCAGATTATGTGATTATCTCTCTCTCCATCTAACCATGATTATTGAGGGAGCCACCCTTAGACAGATTCTAATGCAGAAGTAAGTTAATTTTCGTTTTTGAAACATCAATATTTTATTGGGGTTTAGATTAACATTGTGCTGCATATGTATTACCCTAATAATAATCATGGCGCTCAATGTAACTTTGCGACAGAACATGATACTTTGACTGAAGGTTGAATGTTTATAATCATAATAATAGTATTGATAAAAAGAGCATATGGTCATTTTTCAATGGATAAAATGCTTTAAATGTCATAATCATATGCTCTTGAAGTGATCTTAAGTCAAATCTGAGCCGCAGCTTTCGGAAAACTAATTTAATCTGGCCTCAACATTTGACCCTTAATTAATGCTGGGTTCTTTAATTGATAATTATTATGTTTTTTTCATAAGTTGCCAAATGTTTTGGATAAATGCCATTTTTAACAGTGTTTTTCTTAATGATAAAGAAACTGAAAACCTAAAATAATTAAGGTGATGGTACAATTTTCATAGAAAGAAAATCGACCTAATGTTACAAATGTCATTTCAAATCTTCACTCTGTTATTTCAATGTTATATTCTATTGTAGATGTAATCGTGAGTTTAAACTCCGGGATAAACTGATAGCAGAAAATTCTACCAGATTACGCGGATTTACAATATTCATTGCAGAACTGTTCCAGCAGCTAGAAATTCAGGTAGATTAATCATAATTAACATAAGAAGGTATTTATTTTTCTACTGATGCATCTCCCCCTCTCTCAAAAATTGATTTTTACTCCTTAAAATAAAAGAAACTTTAACTAGGGTTTCCGTTGGAAGCATTTTTTCGCGTAAAAATGTGCAAAAAGAGGAAATTGGGCAATTTTTTTCCTTTGGCGCATTTGGGGGGGGGGGGTTGCGTCAGTTTTTCAGCGTAAGTAGAGCAAATAAATTCCACTTAAAGGGAGTGAAAAATGAAAAGGGGTATAGGCATACGGCGATAAATAAGCGCTTTTGATCGCTTCTAATCTTACTTCTATCTGTTGCGTCTATAAGGAGAAAATTGTTAAAAACGACTTGTACCGAATAACGCAGCATCCACCCAAATTGAGAAAATTGCAATTCAAGATTTGGATCGTAAAAAAATCAATTTAATATCAAACATATCATTTAGATATTAAACCTTTAGTCATCGATTATTTTTCGATGCATTCGTATATAGTTGATATTTCATAATATTTTGTATTTGTATTTATAAAATGAACTTAAATCGCCGATTAGTTTGTACGCCAGATGTCTCTACTCTCGATGTTCTGAATGATTCCACGTGGCAGAGAAAAAAATATTATACAAAATAAGCGCTTTTTATCGCATTAAGCCTATACCCCCTTTATTTTTCGCGAACACTCCCTCTAAAGTTTGCAATGAATTTGCGTCAAAATCATTCTCGCAATTTGCGCATTTTGTTTGGGCACCTTGATTTGCACCGCGTCTTTCTCAAAGTGCGAAAGTTTGTGCTTTTTTTCCTTTGTAAGAAAACGCAAAAATACAGAAATTTGTGACGGAATTAGCGCACAACGATTTTCCATTACTATGGAAACCCTACATAAAACACAAGCTGACTAGCCCCATACCCCTATTTTAAAAGATTTTATTATTTATTTTCATAATTTTAACGAAAAAAAACAACACGTTTCTTACATTTCAAGGAGAAACTATGTTAAAAAGGAAATAAATATCCCTGATAAATTATCATTATTTAAGAGTGGGTGCTGTAGTACAGAGGGTCCAGGTTCTAGGAAATATCCTAGATCTAATAATAATTCATAATATCTTCTAGGTGGGTGCTGTAGTACAGAGGGTCGAGGTTCTAGGAAATATCCTAGATCTAATAATAATTCATAATATCTTCTAGGTGAATGCTGTAGTACAGAGGGTTCAGGTTCTAGGAAATAAATAATTCATAATATCTTCTAGGTGAATGCTGTAGTACAGAGGGTTCAGGTTCTAGGAAATATCCTAGATCTAATAATAATTCATAATATCTTCTGTGTGGGTGCTGTAGTACAGAGGGTCCAGGTTCTAGGAAATATCCTAGATCTAATAATAATCCTTTATATCTAGGTGTGTGCTGTAGTACAGAGGGTCCAGGTTCTAGGAAATGCTATCCTAGATCTAATAATAATCCTTTATATCTATGTGGGTGCTGTAGTACAGAGGGTCCAGGTTCTAGGAAATATCCTAGATCTAATAATAATCCTATATATCTAGGTGGGTGCTGTAGTACAGAGGGTCCAGGTTCTAGGAAATGCTATCCTGGAGTTAATAATCACATTGGGAACTCATCCTGACAAGGAGAATATTAAGTGCATTGTTCAAACCTTGAAATGTTGCGGAAGTGTTCTAGAAGAAGAGGAAAGATCTAAACCAGGAAATAACGGTACTACGCCGATAATAGGTAATGATTATAATTGATTATATACCGAGAGACCCATAAAGCTGTGGATTAGGGTGATGACTGTTTGACTCAAGACATTATTTTGATTAGTTCAACGAGGATGAATCATAGCAATTTTGCTTTTTATACGGACACATTTTATTTTATTTTCATTCATATAACGTAAATTAGTAATAATAAGACACAATAAAAACAATTAACAGATTTAAATATAAAGGAAAAAAATAGTAGAAAAAGTTATTTTAAAATAAACTTGTTTTGCTCAGTTTTCGCCAAATATTCAAAACTTCTCAACAAATTATTTTTCCAAGGTTATTCAAATTAAAAATTGTTAAGATTGTAAGATTATTAAAATTGTAAAACTTGTTGTAGATTTATTGATTTTCTAGAAACTGATGATGAAAAATTTCCTACAAAATAGGGTTTAAAAGAAAACTTTGATAAAAAAAATTAATTTTTAGACAAAACATTTAAATTCCTGGTCGAGCTGAGCAGTAATCCTGAACTGGAACCTGGTCTAGGAGATATGCTACTTCACTTGGTTAATCTTAGATCTGCAAACTGGGGGCACTCTCCCCCTTCCACAGCCCAGGTACACTTGGTCAATCTTAGATCTGCAAACTAGGGGCACTCCTCCCTTCCAAAGCCCAGGTACACCTGGTCAATCTTAGATCTGAAAACTGGGGGCACTCCCCCCCTTCTACAGCCCAGGTACACCTGGTCAATCTTAGATCTGAAAACTGGGGGCACTCCCCCCCTTCCACAGCCCAGGTACACCTGGTCAATCTTAGATCTGAAAACTGGGGGCACTCCCCCCCTTCCACAGCCCAGGTACACCTGGTCAATCTTAGATCTGAAAACTGGGGGCACTCCCCCCCTTCCACAGCCCAGGTACACCTGGTCAATCTTAGATCTGAAAACTGGAGGCAATCCTCCCTTTTCACAGCCCAGGTACACTTGGTCAATCTTAGATCTGCATACTGGAGGCAATCCCCCCTTTTCACAGCCCAGGTACGCCTGGTCAATCTTAGATCTGCATACTGGAGGCAATCCCCCCTTTTCACAGCCCAGGTACACCCGATTTTTCTTATAATGTACTATACAAGAAGTAGTTCAAGAAGATCGGTCTAGTTCAACTAGATAGGTCTAGTTCAACTAGATTGGTCTAGTTCAACTTTATCGGCCTAGTTCAACTATGTTTTAGTGCCACAGAGATCATTTACCTAGGTTCAGCTACTTCTCACTATTCATTAATTTTAACTCTAGGTGTTGTCTGATCTGCCTGGTCCTCTAGATTTAGAACCGGTTTTCTACGCACCTGACGGTCAGGTAAACAGGATAAAATAACCAGAGCTATAATTACATCCATATAGTAAACAATATAAAAATAGTTGCAGATTTTTTGCCTGTAAAATTATAATTTGTATGTGTATTTTAGCAATAAACTATATCATATCTTATCTTTCTTTTGTAAAAGCCCTGCTGGATTGCATATAATAAAAATTTTCTCATTGATTTCTCGGCTTCTGATTGGCTGTCCAAATATTCCAATTAACTTTTGGTATACACTGTCCAGGATACAAACTAAATATTAAATCAGTCGTGAGATTAATAAAAAGAGGAGATCAAACATTGATCTCAAAAGATCAACCATTCTAAATTTTTCAGCTCAGTTTGCAAAAAATATCCAAGAAAACATTCTTTTTTTTCGTTTTTATTTTATCAAAGGAGGGGGGGGGGAGGCAAGCTACACCTGTATTATAGCTTTCTATCCACAATTTACTCACAAACATAGACTNGGAAATGTTTTGCTCCAAATTGCTCTTGATGAAAAAAATAAATATTCAATCTTTTAGGTTCTCACCATGGAGGAATATGATTTCTTACAAGAGTACGGGCTCAATGACGAAGACAATTTCGGGTAATAAATTATTACTAAAATAATTTTTCTTCATTCCAGGGAACGCAAGTTCCAAACTGTGATTTGGCCCACACCTGACACTGAGTGTCAGGTTTGGACTAAATGTGCAAAGTCACTGAGTGTCAGGTTTGGACTAAATGTGCAAAGTCACTAAGTGTCAGGTTTGGACTAAATGTGAAAAGTCACTGAGTGTCAGGTTTGGACTAAATTTGCAAAGTCACTAAGTGTCAGGTTTGGACTAAATGTGCAAAGTCACTGAGTGTCAGGTTTGGACTAAATGTGCAAAGTCACTGAGTGTCAGGTTTGGACTAAATGTGCAAAGTCACTGAGTGTCAGGTTTGGACTAAATGAGCAAAGTCACTGAGTGTCAGGTTTGGACTAAATGTGCAGAGTCACTGAGTGTCAGGTTTGGACTAAATATGCAAAGACACTGAGTGTCAGGTTTAAACTAAATATGCTAAGTTATCTTTTTTTTAGCGTTTATTTTTTTAAATTCAAGTCGAGATGAAAAAAACGTCTGCATACTTTAATTTGGAACAATTGAGTCTACTTTTTTATAACAGAAATCTAAATATTAAACCCCCTAGAAATTAATAAATTCGATATTTTTTAACATAAGCACGGTTTGGAACTTACGCCCCCTGTGTTCATTATATTGTTTTATATCCTGCTATTTTCATCTTCATGTGGGATATTTCTATTTTTTCTCCTATGCATGGGGATTAGAGGGAAGGGGGGGGGATTTTTCCTCCAATTCATGGGGATTGGAGGAAAGGGGGTGGGATTTTCCCTCCAATGCATGGGGGGTAGAAACTAATTAATTTTGAAGAGAGTGTTAGAGAATTTAAAATAATCCATTCATTCAGTAACTGAACACTAAACAGGATTTTTAATTCTGGCACATTTTTTTTCATTTGTCACGATAATTGTTATTTTAATAAAATCTGTTTAGTATCGTAAGGAAAATCAATCCTAATTATAGTCTTCTGTTTGATTAGAATTGAATAATCTATAGTTTACAACATGATATTTTCTAGGGAGGTTCAGTGGTCTACTGGGGAGGATAATCCGGGGATGGGAGATGAGATGGAAGCAGCTTACGACGAGTTTCTCCGGGGGCAATCATAGTATGGAGAAAACAAGTTCTCATTTAACAACCTTAGGACGGAGAAACCAATTTCTCAGGGGGTAATCTAGTATGGAGAATAAAAGTTCTTCGGGGATAATCTAAGGACGAAGAAAACAAATTTCTCCGGGGGTAATCTTAGTATGGAGAATACAAGTTCTCCGGGGGTAATCTTAATACGGAGAAAACAATTTCTCAAGGGGAAATCTTAGTATGGAGAAAACAGGTTCTTCGGGGGTAATCTTAGGACGGAGAAAACAAGTTTTCAGGGGGCAATCTTAGTACGGAGAAAACAAGTTCTACGGTGGTATTCTTAGTACGGAGAATTCAAGTTCTCCGGTGGCAATCTTAGTACGAAGAAAACAATTTCTTTGATGACAACCTTAGTACGGAGAAAATAATTTCTCAGGGGGCAATCTTAGTACGGAAAATACAAGTTCTCCGATGGCAATCTTAGGACGGAGAAATTAAGAAATAAAAATCAAAAAAACATTTTTTTCTATTCTTACAGCTTGAATTCCATGTTTAGGTGTTGGCTTATTTATACATCATTTTATACATGGCATAAATGAATTGTAATCAAGATTGTTTAAAACAAACTTACCGCTGTCAATCTTAATATACCGTTTCTGTATTATGATAATGATACGGTAAGTTTTCTTAGAACAATGCTTCTGTATTATAAGAATACATTATGTGATTTTGTTATCTAAAATTACGTGTCGTATCGTAAAAAAGCAATGAGGTTTTGTATTTTAAAATACAATTTGATATCTTAAAATAACATTTCTGTACTTTAAAAATACAGTTCTTATTATAAAATATCGTTTCTGTATTTCAGGAATACAATTTGTTCACTTGTAATAACGTTTTAGTGTTTCAAATATCAGTTCGTTATCTCGTTTGAACGTTTCCGTATGTCAAGAATACAATTCGTAGGCTTATAATAATGTTTGTGTATTTTAAGAATACAATTTGTTCTTTTGTAAAAACGTTTGTTTCTTCGATACCATACATAGAATATTACAATATATGAAATCAATAATTAATGAATTTATTTGTCAAAATGTATTTAATACATTTGTTAAGTGTAGAAAGAACTTTTTTTAAAGATTTATTGGCGAGGTAGTTAAGTTTTTCCATCTCCATCTTAGCTTGAATATTACATTTACCTAAAAAATTAACAATTAAAACACATTTTTCCCTCAAAAAAAGCGCTGAAAGTAATAAAACAATTTCAGCTATTTTGTGAATTCAACCAGAAATTTTTTTTCAATAAAGGAAGTATTCGCAAAACCTTAATGTTGATCTAGACAAACTTTGTAAATAAAATCATGAATTATTATTATCTTCTTTTCAATGTTTCTTTAAAAGAGTTTCCCTGTGATTTCCTAGTATAAACTGTGCCAATTAATTAAGAAAACTGTTATTGCTAATTCCAACTTAATGTTTTGTTAACAGTCCCTTTAAGATTAAAAAAAACGATATCATGTAAATTGAGTACCTCTAATTCTCGAAACCGAAAGATATTTTTTTGTTCGATTGTCTTTGAAAGACTAACAAGTTTTAGGAGAAAAAAATCTTATTTTTATTTTTTTTCTAAGAGACTAAGGGAAGAAAAGGTTTAACTCCTGTATTGAATTAACTGACGGTGATTTTATTTTTGTAACCTAGCACATAGAATATTTAACAATATTTTGTATTTTATATATCGTCGAATGTCTAGTAATTTTTGTATTTATAAATCGTCGAACCAATTGTCTAGATGATTATTTATTTGTTGACTCTAATGTTTTTTTCTTCTTTTCAGAAACTATGTTTTAAAGAGGATTGAACAATTATAATTACCATGAAGAAAGAAGAGGATGAGGTTAAAGTCACAGTTTACATAATTGAAATTAAAATACAAATCTCGTAACCGCCAATTCAAACCATCAAATCCGCCAAATACAATATTAAACCGGTTAAAAACATGGCTGAATTAATTTTGATTGTTGATATATTTAATACTAGCTGTTCTTTTTTATTAGTATAAATATTAAAAATGGAGAGTCCCTTTTAGCTTTATTATTTGTTTAGGAGGTCCAGGCTATGCGAGAATGTATTGAAAATGCATTCTGGTACAGATCTCTTCCTGGAGGCTTATTTACAGGTATCCTTTTACATTTAGATCTAATGGAATTAATAATCTAAGAATTAATAATCTAGAATCAATGCCTAAATTCTAGAGGATGGTAACAGGGGTTCATAGAATTCCTTCCAATACGATTCCAAACGTTGATTGACTGATATTAGGGGGCAGCAATTAACCAAAATTCGCAATGACACAGAAAGTGATTTTCTGCCCATTTATGCAGTTTCAAATAAACTCCTTAAAAAATTGGCCTCTCCGTCCAAACTTACCTAACATCTGGAGTTTCAATTTTCAATGCCTTTTCAAAAAATATAAACCCTTAAAGTATATTGAAATGAACATCAACTTTGATTTCATGTTGATCATATGATTTTAAAATATCAGTAAGTAACATATCTAGAACCAGTGCTTAGGATCCGGATCCGTTGGATCCGCAAGATTTTGGCTTCCTGGATCCAGATCCTGATCCAAGGGGTAAAATATCAACCCCAAACTGCAAAAAAAAACTTTTTTAATCCTAAACCCCAAATTTGAACTTTTGAAAAAAGAAAGATTATAAAAAATTTCCTCATTTCTGAAAGGTTTATCAAGTTTTAGGATAAAAATAAGCGAAAAAAAAGACAAAAAAATTTGAAAATTATTTTCTGTTAAAAAAACTCAGTAAATCTTAAAGAAATTACCTAAATCCGGATCCATTTTTTTCCAGTGCGGATCCAGGGTCCGGATCCGCATCAAAATTAAATGGATCCTAAGCACTGTCTAGAACTAAAAAAACTCTTCCAGGGTCTCTAGCAATGCTCGCTCTCCAGACGAGAAAGATTAAAACTAAAACAAGGTAATGATCAATGATCATCTAAATAATTCACAATTTCGATTTTCAATTACATCATTTAAAAAATTTTGAATTATCGCTCAAAATATTCATATCTTTAATGCCAGAAATCCCGGATTCTCGTGGATTCCGTAGCTTTAAAAAATATTTTTATGTATGACGTAACATTCTAGATTAAAAAATCTTTTTGTTAACCCGATAAGATTTTTATTTTGCAATGAAATCTACGAAAATAAAATGGGAATTCTTACAAAAAATAATCTTGACTTTTGGGAACAATTTTTTGTTGCTAATTCCAAAATGTTGAGAATATGTTAATTTAAACTATCACGACAGTAAACAATTCCTTTAAGGTTTGGTGGATTACCTATAGTGCTCGGGTTCGGTTCTATGGGATACATCCTGGGCAAATTCTCCTTCATACTCAGTAATCAGTGTATGGATATATTCCTCAAGAAGGTATTCAGGCAGTGAGAGTCCCATATCCTAGGTTAATTAAAGCTAGTGTATGCATATTGTCCTTAAGTAGGTATTCAGGCAGTGAGATACCCATATTCTTGTTTAATTAAAGCTAGTGCATGCATATTTTCCTTAAGACGGTATTCAGGCAGTAAGAGCGCAATATACTTTTATATTAAAGTTAGTGCATGCATATTTCCCTTAAGTAGGTATTCAGGCAATGAGATCCTTATATCATTGTTATTTTAATGCCTATTTGTCATTTATCCTTGTTATATTAAGGCACCTGAGAGTCATATATGCTTGTAATATTAAGCTGAGAATCCTATATCCTTGTTATATTAAGGCTCCTGTGAGTTCTATATCCTTGTTATATTGAGGCTCCTGAGAGTCATATATGCTTGTAATATTAAGCTGAGAGTCCTATATCCTTGTTATATCAAGCTGAGAGTCCTATATCCTTGTTATATTAAGCTGAGAGTCCTATATCCTTGTTATATTAAGCTGAGAGTCATATATCATTGTTATATTAAGCTGAGAGTCCTATATCCTTGTTATATTAAGCTGAGAGTTCTATATCCTTGTTATATTAAGGCCCCAGAGAGTCCTATATCCCTGAATGTCCGGCAGCAGCGGGAAACTGAGCTGGTTGTGGACGAGGAGAGGTTTATGGATATCCTGGAGCAGATCAATGTGGATCAGATGTCGGAGAAGGAACATCAGATTTTAGGCATTCATTCATTCATACATTAGTCATCCACATAATCATCCTTCAAAACATTATTTATCCAGAAATTCATTTATCCAAAAATTTGTCATTCAGAAATTCATTTATCCAGACATTCATCCTTACAGATATTAGTTATCCAGACATTCATCCTTCCAGACATTCATCCTTACAGACATTCATCCTTACAGACATTCATCCTTCCAGACTTCCAGACATTTATCCTCCAGACATTCATCCTTCCAGACACCTATCCAGACATTAGTCATCCAGACATTTAAAGAGATTCAGATTTATAGTCCAGTAAGCCAGGGTGTTTGATAAAATCCTAATCTACGTACTCTTTTAATCACCCCCCTCCACAGATTAAAGGGACTGATGTCGAAAATTTAAGTGACCCTCCATCTAATGAGGGTTTGCCCGATTTTCATCGGTACCCTTGAAATCTGAATCTGATCTTTTATGTGGAAAATAATTTTTATGTGACTTACTTCTGATAATTCTACCATTGTTGCTGAAGCTAGAAAGGCGCAATTTAATTTTGCTTAAAACCCGCTAAGGAAAAAAATAGATTTCGAAAACATAAATATCTATTTCATACTTAATCAGGCATAATGGTACCTTTATGATCCGACATGTCTCTTTAACAGTGAAAAATCACTTCAAATTACGTTTGTACAGATCCTTTTAACCTTTAACGTTGAATACCTCATTTCTTCATTATTTCATTTCATGGAACAATTTTTTCATATAATTCTTAGGAACATGAATCCTCTTTAGTAATTACTGTTATAATTAAACCTGTCTTAGCCATCCCATCTGAATGATTATAAAACCCAGAGGCGAAAGCTTTTTTATTTGTGGAGGTCATTAAGAGTTCATTAGAGGTCATTAGAGTTCATTAGAGGTAATAAAAATTCAATTTTATTTTATTTTAGGACTTTCGATCACTTGGGGGAGGGGTTATCGCGAAAAATTGGACATATAAGGCAAGTTTTTTCATGCTTTTTTAAAATTCATTTTTCTCTGTAAAGATAATTGATTTTCAGTGAATAAATTATTTTCTAAGAGAGGGAAATTATTTTTCAAGAAAATGTACACGCACTGTAAACTGACTGATAGCATTAAGAAAAGATTTAAAATATATAAATTCTGTCCTCTCTGAGTGAAAGGATGAATGAGTTTAAGGAAGAATAGGTGAATGATGAGTGAATGATGAATGAATGAATGAATGAATGAATGTATAGAGGATTGTAACGATGTTGCGTTCTATAGTTACTCCCTCCCTCTCTCCTCCCTCTCCGGAGGAGGGGTTTATTATTCCCTCAAACAAGGATTACTTAAAGAGAGTAGGATTTTTACTTCCTTTCCACGGGTTCCTAAGGTGAGTCATTTTTTTATTTTCTCCAAAAATTCAGTTATTTTCTTAAAAATTATTTATTATTTATTATCGCTGAACTAAGCGAACAAAATCCTTTAAAAAATGTCCCTAACTTTTGATGAGAAAAAAACTATTATTTTTAAGGAGGGGGGGGGGGTGATTTTTAAAGAAAGAGTACACCCCTGGTGAGGTTACCTTCAATTTAAAGAGAATATACCCGATTCACAAAGGTATCCTTTAAACCAGTTCTTAGGATCCGTAGGATCCGCAATATGTTGGCTTCCTGAACCGGATCCGCTAAAAAATGCGGATCCATAGGGCAAAATATCAACCAAAAACTGAAAAAAAACTTATATCTCAAAATCCAAATCTAAACTATTGAAAAAAAGATTATAAAAAAATTCCTGATCTCGGAAAGGTTTATCAAGTTTTAGCAAAAAAATAAGCGAAAAAATAAATCAAAAAAATTGAAAATTTTGTTTGTAAAAAAAAATTCAGTAAATCTTAAAGAAATGACCGGGAGCCGGATCTGGATCCATTTTTTCTTGGTCCGCATCAAAATTAAATGGATCCTAAGCATTGCTTTAAATCTTTATCTGATGAATATATAGAGAATATTATATAATTCTAGACTGTTTGTGGAACCCTGCTGGGATATATACTTGGACAATATTTATATGTGAAGCGGGGAGACTGCCCACGTAGGTGAAAAAAAAACTTTATCTAAAGGGAATGTACACATTTATCAGAGTGACAAGATATTTATAGAGGAATATGTCTGTATCACAATAATAGTTAGCATTTAGCACCCTTAAAGTCTTGTTTGAACATAAGCTTTTAAGTGTTACATTGTAAATCTTAAGTCGTCTTCGTTGTATAGATATATTCGACGATTTCTGTATGCCAGGCTATAAATAGAGTCCCTTCAGGCATAGAACGGAAATTGAAAATGCGGGTAGCAATTAACATAAATCTATTAAATTCAATAACTTAATAAGTATTAAACATGTAAATATTTTATTCCATTTTTTAAAGAAATATAACTATGTTTAAAACTGACCAAAGCTGGCAGATTCTTGAATAACCTTTAAATATATTAAATGAAAAGATTTCTGATTATTCAGCAAATAAATTTCCGGGAAAAAGGTTATTGAAAAAGTTGAAAAGTTTTATACTTTATAGTGCCAGGGTTGGGGTGGATATGGATATGGACCTTGGTCAAAGCCAGAGTGCGGGGGGGGGGGAATAGGGACCAGTTTTGTTTTTTGACGTTAAATATCTTCTTAAAATGTGTTATGGTGCCTATTGAACCTTGTATTTTCTTTGTTGAAACTTTTTTAAAACTGATTCGGAAACCATTTAATTTTTTATGTCAGAGCCTAAATTTTCAACAGATTTTTTTTTATCTTTTTACATTAAAATAAAATGTTCATTTCCGTCCTTAAACAAAATTCTGTTTGAAATTGTATTTTTTTATTGTTTAATGTAAAGGATTTTCAAAAACTTCGAATTAAAAAAAAAGATTGCATTCATGATATCTTAAAAAAATGTAAATTTGATTAAAATTTTAGAGACATCTTGTATTTTATATTTTTTATGAAGTAGTACTAGAAGAACGAGTCTATTCTTTATTTTCAAATTTTGTTTGAAGGGGCCACGCTATGCAGACTTGATTTTGAGTGACTCTCCATTTCTCGAGTGGTTTGTCCGATTCACAACAGTACCCTGAAAAGCTTTGTCAGATCAAGAATGCATGATTTGTTCATTATCTGTTCTTATATTTTTTTTCAATTTTCTTTATAGTAAAGAGATGTCACAAAATGCCAGTCTTTCTGAATCAATCTTAACTACAGAAAACGCACTGTATTTCTGTCTTCTCTACCTAGGGTTTAAGCCAGGTCTATTCAACGCGAGGTTTTACACTTAACTAACTATTTATTGAAACATAAGGTAACAGGTCAAATAGGGTGACCGGCGTAGCGGGCACCCAACTAGGACATATATATTTACAACGTTAATTAACGATAAAGTGAATCTTTTATTTGATTACGAAGTATGCATAAAATGATGATAATAGTTATTAGAAGGGATATAGATCAGGTATTAGGTTTCCCTGATATAGTACTCAGGGAATATTTATTACAGGGATTTGCATAGTGCATGCTGCTTCAGAAACAATGGAGGATAATATGAATTAAACAATATTTTTCACATCACTCTTATTATTACTATTTCGTATAGTATTTACCTTTACTGGGGAGATTAACGTCTAAAGGGTCTTTGTCATTTGTCCTACAAATATAAACTACAGGGTGTCCCATAAAATACAAATTATCCCATAGAATATAGGGTTTCCAATAAAATACATGGTGTCCCATAAACTACAAGATATCCTTTATGCTATAAGAGTGTCCATTGTTTCCCATGAACTACAGAATGTCCCATAAACTTCAGGATGTCCCATAAAGAAATGGTTGTCACATAAACTACAGGGTGTCCCATAAACTGCAGGGTGTCCCGTAAACTACAGGGTGTCCCATAAACTACCTGGTGTCCCATAAAGTACAGGGTGTCCCATAAACTACAGGTTATCCCTGAAACTACAGTGTGTCCCATAAACTACAGGGTGTCCCATAAACTACATGTTGTCCCATAAATTACAGGGTGTCTCATAAACTACAAGGTGTCCTATAAACTACAGGATGTCACATAAACTACAGGGTATCCCATAAACTAATGGTTGTCTCACAAACTACAGGGTGTCCCATAAACTACAGGCTGTCCCATAACCTACAGGATGTCCCATAAATTACAGGATGTCCCATAAACTTCAGGATGTCCCATAAGCTAATGGTTGTCCCATAAACTAAAGGGTGTCCCATAAATTACAGAGTGCCTTATAAACTACAGGGTTCCCCTTAAACTACAGGTTGTCCCTTAAACTACAGGGTGTCCCATAAACTACAGGGTGTCCCTTAAACTACAGGGTGTCTCATAAACTACAAATTATTGTAGGATAAATAACAAAGCACCCATAAAGGGTACCTTGGTAAATTGGACATTCCCTTCTTTGTAAATAAAATGACAAGAATAGTCCTTTTGATTAGATTTCTGACGTATGACGAGGACGGTCAAATTGCTCAGCTGTTGAGGCGAGGTGTAGAGGAAAAAAGACGGTTAGAAGAAGAAAGAGGAGAAAATAAGAGAATACTAGAAAAAGGAGAAGAAGAGATCTATAAAAGAGACTCAAACTTTGTACAACATAATCCACAAACATCGATTCAGAATAAACAGGTAGAAGATTTATTTTTAAAGATGGCATTTTTAAATTTAATTCATATTTTTTAAATCATTTGTAATTTTTTATATTTAATAGCTGTGCTTAGGATCCGGATCTTAGGGGAAAATATTAGTAAATCTTGAAAAGTTCAGGACCTGCTTCCGGATCCGGACTCGGATCCAGATCCATTTTTTTTAAGGCCGGAGCTGCAACCGCATCAAAATGAAACAGATGCTAAGCACTGTTAAATACGTAGCAATAAAACAGTGAATTGCTTGCCGTTTTCATTTTTTCTTTCAATTAATTAATTTTTTGATTCTTTCTGATCTATTTACTTTTTGTTGTTCCAGGATTATATACTACCAGGAGAGGATTCAAGTTTAGCGATTGAATCCATAATTAGGGATTCTTGGACAAACAGTTTGGATCCCTTGTTTAAACCGGTTTAGAGATTGAATCCATGATTAGGGATTCTTGGACAAACAGTTTAGATCCCTTGTTTAAACCTTTATGATCCGGAAGTCTCCACTCTCCAGTGAAAATTTTAGGGTCTCCAATGAAAAACTGAGAGTCTCATAATGAAATAATAAAATCTGGGGTTTCACCAAAAAGTTTGGGTCTCCAACAAAAAATTTGGGGGTCTCCAAGGAAAAGTTTGTGTCTCCAATGAAAAGTTTGGGTCTCCAACGAAAAGTTTGGGTCTCCAACGAAAAGTTTGTTTCTCCAATGAAAAGTTAGAGTCTCCAATGAAAAGTTTGGGTCTTCAATGAAAAGTTTGGGTCTCCAATGAAAAGTTTGGGTCTCCAATGAAATGTTTGGAGTCATAGATGAAAAGCTTGAGATCTCCAATGCAATTCTGGAAGTCCCCAATGCAATTCTGGAAGTCTCCAATGAAAAGATTTGGGCCTCTGATGGAAATCTGGGGGTTTCCAGTGAGACGATCTTGGGGTGTCTGATAAGACGGTTATATGATCCAGATGATGATTCCTTCCCAGACTTATAATTTTCAAAAATACCTGAAATGTGAAAAAAACAACACTCAAAAAAGATAATATCATGCGAACTCGTTTTCTGGGACACCCTGTCAGAAAATAAGATTAAGATTGCGCCTTTTTTCCTTTTTTATTTCAATATCAAATCTGAATTCACTATTTATGTATATATACAATATATCGAGTTCAACCTGAAGCCTTCTAAATGTTTTAAATCATGCAGTCTCTCTCAGGCCTCGTTAGATATATAACAAATAGAATTAAAATAATTTTAAGAGACTGTAGACGTAATTTCAAAAGAACCTCCATTGTTCGACTGGACTGTACAATTCACAACGGTACCCATTAAACCTTTTTCTATTATTACTGAAACTTTAGAAACTGCCAAATATATTCTATTGCTAAAGAAAAGCACACTTTCATAGAGAAATACAATAAAAAATAATCAATTTTAAGATGGAGGAACAACTCCATCTTTTTTGCTAAAAAAAGGTATTAGGGTGTCGATGTGAATGAGGCGCGCCCCACTTAAGATGGAGGGTCACTTGAAATCACAATGACCTATTTTAACATCCAGGTTTTGGAGATTATATTTTATATATAAGAGCATTTTATAAAGTTAGACCCATATAACTTGAGAAAAGCTAGGAAAAAGAATGTTTTGCAAAAATTATGATTTTCTATGAACATGAAATCTGCAGTAATTGCGAAACACACTATACATTTTACTTTAAAAGTTGATTTTTTAAGCTATTGTTAAAACTATTTGCTTTATTAAAACATCAGGTACACATAAGATTGCTTAATTATCTTATCGTAACAAAAAATAAACTAGACTATTAAAATAATTGCGTATTGGTGAATCGTTCACTACGTTATTCTCAAAATTAGCAAAGAATTTTATCTCTAAAATATTTTTGTCTGAAATATCATTTGCTATGAATCTGAATATCAAGTTTCTCACATCGGCACATGGTTTAGAAAACTTTTATGAAAATCATTTTATTAAATAAAAATTCTCATTCAATGACAAAACTTTCCAGTTGTAGGGTTTTGTCTCATCAGCTCAAATGATTTTTTTAAATTGAAAATAATGTTGAAATTTTCTAGAATGATATTCATTTGCATTCAACTTATCTGGATAAATGAATTGCATGTTTTTGCCCAAGAAAAAATACCGTTTTTCCTTATAAAGATTTTACATTTCACTCTACGAGCAATTCCATTCAAAATTGTCAATCCATGAGACAAAATGTATCATGAGAAGTATTGATTAACACGAAATAAACCTTAATAAATGAATGTTGTTGAAATTTTGTTTTGGCCACAGACAAACAAGACAAATGGTTATTCCTACTCTAGGTCATATAGATTATTAAGAACAATAGGTGCCAACATAGAAATCGATCAATCATACACTATACGTCACACGTGTCAAATATAACGAAATCTCTCACATTAGTTGACTTGTCTTATTTACAAGACTAAATAAAAAAGTGTAAAAACAGAAAATAAAGAACACATTAAACTGCACTTTATTTACCATAAGATAAGCACTTTATTTTGAAATTATCACTATTTTTAATAATTTTGTCGGACACAAAAACTAAGTTGACACTTGTGACGTAAGATTACAGCTGCACTGAGAGTGTACAAATTCTACGTTGCCATCTATTGTACTAGAATCTATTTGCTCTCGGTAAAAAGTGAATTAAAAGACAAAACCGAAGTGAAAAGCCTTTTCTAATCTTGTGAAAGGTATGAGATTAATTTTATTCGGAATTTTTTACTTACCCATGAGTCAGAGTAAAAACAAACACAAACTCACATGATAGCACAATGAACGTAAGGATAAAAAAATTTATTTTAACCCTGAACAGGCTGGGGTTTGGCGCCCCCCTGTAGTTATTTGTTTTATCACTCTAATTTTTGACACTATATCACCGTTAAATTTTGTGACTTTTAAGGAATAGTAATTTATAGGGTGGAAAAAAAGTCAGGTCTGTGAAAAAAATATCTAAAATAGCCCATACATTTTTTGTGACTAAAGCTACAGATCTAAAAACTATATTTTTAAAGAGCCCTTGAAAAATGTATTTATAAACATGTGTGATACTTTGATATTTGTATACAACAAAAAAAATATTTTTTTTTCATCTTTTTATCCTTTTTTAGGCACTTTTTTCCACCCTCCCTAGCACCCAAACTATCATAAAGTTATCGGTCTAATTTTTTTTCTTTGTGCTGGCCATGCATTTCATCCCTATACCTATTCTCTAAGGCCTTTTTATTGGGGGGGGGGGGAGCGCCAAACGCCCCCCAGGCTATACATAGATTCAAACCCCCAGCCTTGTCTGTTTGTATGTTTGTATGTCCTATCAAAGCTCAGGACCTCTTGACCGAGTTAAGACTCATATTATGATTGGAATAGTTTGTAGAACCACAGGAATTGATTTAGCTCGGTAGTTGGGTGGGTTAGCTTTTAAAAGGTAAGCTTAGTTGTCCAGACAAAGCTGGGTTCCCAAGCTAGCTGAATTATTAAAATCAATTAAAAGTTTTTCTCCCCCCGTGATGAATGGGGATTGATCAAGAAAGAAAAGTTTCGTTTCAAATTCAAGAAAACAGGATCTTTCGTTTCTCAAAAACAGAATAGTTCCAGGGTGTCTTTAAAAATACCTCTTTTTTATTTCACATAAACTGCAATAATAAAATAAGAAAATTTTGCTAACGCCGGATAGTGGTTTTTTTTCTCTTCAGAAACCGGAAGGTTTTTCAAATGAAACCCTCGAGGTTTTTCAAATGAAACTCTAGAGGTTTTCAAATGAAACTCTGGAGGTTTTTCAAATGAAACTCTGGAGGTTTTTCAAATGAAACTCTGGAGGTTTTTCAAATGAAACTCTGGAGGTTTTTCAAATGAAACTCTGGATTTTTTCAAATGAAACTCTGGATTTTTTCAAATGAAACTCTGGAGGTTTTTCAAATGAAACCCTGGAGGTTTTTCAAATAAAACCCTGGAGGTTTTTCAAATGAAACCCTGGAGGTTTTTCAAATGAAACCCTGGAGGTTTTTCAAATGAAACCCTGGAGGTTTTTCAAATGAAACCTTGGAGGTTTTTCAAATAAAACCCTGGAGGTTTTTCAAATGAAACCCTGGAGGTTTTTCAAATGAAACTCTGGATTTTTTCAAATGAAACTCTGGATTTTTTTAATGAATACCCCAAAATTTTCTCTTCAAATTAATTCGGGATGATTGAGAGCGAAAAAATAAGCTTTTTTTGAAAATATACTTTTTAAACAGTTTCGTCTTCTACAAGGGAGGGAGGGGTTTGTGACATGAACCCATAAGAACTTATTCCGAACCCCTCTGCACGTATTCGGAACTCCACAACTTTACTTTCCGAACCGTACAATATTTATTCGTCATTTTTATTGTTGAATTTGTTTTTACCTAGGAATAATTGTACTAACGGGGTGTTGTAATATAAATTAGCATAGTGCTGTAAAGGTAATTGATGTTTGAATTTAGAAAAGGACCCTTGCTTATTTGTCTAAAACCTCGTGACTGCAATTAACATATATTATTTCCAAAAAAAGTTACAAGTAAAAATGTTATTCTTCAAAACGTGTCTATATTGGTATTAAAAGATGTACCTGAGGTTTTTTGGACAATGCGGCCCAATATTGCAATATCAAAGGTTTAAACCACCAGGTTGCAAAGATATAGGGATTGAGCATTTGAGTTTTATGGCAAGAACTTGTTTCCGATTATATCGCCCATTTCTCAGAAAATTTCTCATGATTTCTCATGACTCATGATTTCCATTTTTTTCTTTTTTTGACCTTATTTCAAGCTCTTCGTCACAATCCAGCAAATATTTGCATTGCCATAAAATGCAAGAATGGAGAATCCTACAGTTTTCTAAAAATCCGCAATTTTTTTGTTTTTCAGAAGAGTTTGTAATTTTAATAATTTTATTATTTTGATGTTAGAATGAGAATTATACTGTTCCTTGTTATTCTGTTGTGTACAGTAAACAGAGCCCGGGGGGACTCAGAACCAAGGGAAACTTGACACAAACCTCATTTAGATTAATTCCGTCCATATGTGTTACACGGAGATTCAGAGTATATAAGACAGCTGTTCATTGTTCAATAATTTCTTAATAGGACTGCCAGCATACTTTTTAATGATCCTCAGTGTAAAGAGGGCAATGCCCGATTTACAAAGGTACCCTTCTAACCTGTAACTGTTCATCGAGTATAAAAATAGAGGATCACTTGAAATTAAGTCTATAACGATCTTTTTAATCTAAATCACCTGGGTTTTAAAGAATTTAAAATTAAAAACTTTGAAAAAATTATTGAACCTTTGAGAGCAATTTAATGACTGGAAAAAAAATTGGGATTCATTTAAATTCAGTCAAAAAATGTTTTTCTAAAGATTTTTTATTCCAGCGGGCGAGAAAATACTGTTTTTGATTGTTTTTGGCTTATGATTTCTGGGATCATATAGGCGAGAATTTTTCTTTTATCACTGCAGATTTTAAAAAAATAAACAGTTCACATGTCATGCGCACAACATTGAGAAAGGTTAAAACTAGGGATGTTAACGTTTTCATTTTTTAAAAACGATCATTTCGTTATCTAACGACGACAAAAAAATGATTTTTTTAAAATTCGTTTTTAAAAACGGTCATTTTAAATACGGTCGTTTTCAAACCGATCTTTTTGCAAAATGATCGGTTTCATAAAGTTTGTCGTTTCGTTAATGATCGTTAACAACACCCCTTTATTAAGGATCGTTAACTACTACCATTCGTTAACGATCGTTAACACATTTATAAATAAAAAATTAATTCAAAAACGATAGTTTTTTTTAAACAATCGTATAAAAAAGGATCGCTTATCGTTGTTGAAAAACGATCGTTTTCTAAAAGATAAGACGAGTGGGTCGTTTTTAAAAACGATCGGTTTTTTTCCGAAAACGATCGGAAAACGAAACAAAAATGATCGTTTAACAATTGTTTTCAAAAACCATTAACAACCCTAGTTATAATACATTACTGCTACGCGTATTTTTTTAGATCTGGCCTTATTACCCTGTTATTAGATCTTCCTGTCCAATTTTCTTTAAAATATAAAGAAAAGAAATAAATGGTTGTAATAATTCTCATGTTTTCGGAAGCTAACTGGTTTAAGAAAATAATTTTAAACATTTATAAATTTAAATATCTTGAAGTTGTATGTCTTATTCAAACTTTCTTCAATTTTAGAAAATTACTCAAAAATTTTCAAATGAGGGACAATTAATGTACAGGGTTAGTAAAGAACCCGGATGTTTTGGAAAAAATGAATTTTTTTGAAAAATGTAAGGAAAATGTTTATTCTATGGTTTTCCAAAATTTCATTAAAAATCATTGAAAGTTGAATAATAACCTTAAAACTGTTTTGGCTTCAAAAAAGCAAATTTGGTTTTACAAATTTTTATTTTAACGTTCCAAACATATATTTGAATTTTTTAATAACATTTTTTTACGAAAATTTTATGCATTTTGTCCAAATCATCGATAATCCCGTTTTTTTTATTCACCCTGTATATATTTTCACAAAAAGTCAATGTTGTTGGTGCAGAGTTCTTCGGCTTAAAGATATCCTTCCCTTCAATCACACGAACACATATGACAGGTTAGACAATAAACAGATTTTATTAAATAATTTTTTAAAAACCGATTCTCAAAATCATCCATCCATAATAAACAATCTTCAATAATATCAATATAATAAAGACGACTTTTGATTTAAATTTAAATTTTTATCAAGCTTTTAAACAGCATGAATACACACAAATATGGAAATAAAGAGAAAAAGGCTTTTCTTTAATTACTTGTAAACTTGCAATTAAAAAAAAGCTTGATAACGATTAGAACTCACATCAAAAAGTCGTCTTCATTATATTGATATAATACCTTTGCAAAATTATCTCAGGCTAATAAAAACATTTTTATTCAGATCATATTTTTGTACATTTTTTAATCTTAAGGTAAGAGACCGATTAGACATGGTAGTTAGCCAACGAAGAGGACCTCCAATCAAAAAGTGTCTTAGAAGAAATTTTTCTTAGAATTTAATTTAACATAGGAATTGACTATCGCGGTAACTCTGTAATGAAACTTTAAAATTAACTCCCTACTGTACACTGTATGCAGTTTATACAGTCTGTTCAGCATATAGTCTGTACACAGGCTGTACATGACTTCATGAGTAAATATGTACAGTGTACATAAATCTTGTTGTAGTGATGCTCCTCCTGTATTCCGGCATCAGCCTGCAGTTGTTTTCCTGCATATGACCCTGCTTATGATGGATAGCTTTGATGAGGTAATCTTTTCAAAAGATGAAACCAAGGATGTTATGCAAGGAAAGTTATTTCAGAAGTGTTCACATCTTTTGTACTGCAGTGTACTGTCTCTGGCCGGTAATGTAAACACAAGACGGATGTCGAAGCCTGACATGGGATCCATCTTTCGCATAAAAAAAACTCAATGAAATATTCTGGTCATAGGAAACTATTATGTGAATTATCAAAATTATCAAAATTTAATGCTTTTAACCTCCTCGGATACTAAACGAACACTGATGCATCTATTCTTGTTTACAAATTCCGCCCAGAGAGAGAAGACTCTGGTTTCCATATGTACGCAGAGTATGCGCGACAGCAATTAACTTTCCTTGCATTACAACCTTGGATGAAACTGTGTACTCCCCCCTTTAGATATATTAATCACAATTGTGTAAGATTAAGGATTATGATTGATTCAGACTTTCTAACTTTCTCAATATCAGAGACGAAACCTTAACATGGAAAGTTTGGGGAAATTCAAGGATTGGAAATGCTAATGATTGGAATAATTCATGACAGTTAATTGAAAGTACGCCATTTAAAAAGTTATTTTTTGTTTTATCCGCTTGCTTGCATCCTGTAACTTGAATTTCTATCAACCTAGTTTCGACTGTATGTGTTAAACGAAAGATATTCCTAAAAGCCACCACAATTCTCAAAAAAAACTTTGAAAGATCCGATGCAGCACATTCATTAAATCCATAAAAAAAACATAAAGATTTCAATTAGGAAAAATGTTAATTAATTATTAAAAAGAAATCTCTTCAGGCTGAGATGACCTTCACAGCTGACATGTTCCTGGCAATGTCCTGGAGAGATCACAGGTCAGCAACCTTTTTTTTCATTTTATTGCAGACGTAAAACAATGGAAAAAAAAGTTTAGTATGCAGTGAGACCCAGGAAACTGTGAAATATGAAGACGACTTGCGATCAGACTCTAGTTTTATTTTAAAGGGACTGTAAGCGATATTTCAAGTGACCCTTCATACAAAAATGGCAATACCCGATTTAGAACGGTACCTTTGAAACTTTAATCTAATAACGAAAATGGAAGATACTATCGCTTTTTAATCGAAAATTGTTTATTCTGTAAGTTTCTTCCTTGCTTCTCATAAACAAGAAATGAAGAAGTCACAGAAAACGCAAATGAAAATTAACAGTTTAATGTAACAAAAACATTGATATACAACTAATAACTATCAAATGCCTTACTCAGATCCATTGCACAAGCATAAACTGCTCTAGCAGCTCTGTTGTAATAGTCCACTACCGAGTTGACCCCCCAGCTGCACATTGTAGTACTGGCTAGCTTCTGAAACCCAAACTGAAGTTCATCTGTGGTCAGCTTATCAGAGTTTAGAATTAATATCAACCAGTCAAACCATTTTAGAATCAAGCTGCCANAAAAAAAAAAAAAAAATTTATTTAAACAAATTTTAACTACACCATTTATATATGTATTTATATCTTTGTGTGTGAATAAATCTTTATAATCTTTATAATATAATAATACTTCATTATAGACAAAGCTTTCAAGGGTACCGTTGTAAATCGGCATTGTCATCTTTGCATGGAGTTTTACTTGAAATTGCGCTTACAGTCCCTTTAATATAGTCTAATGAATATTAAACAGCAATTGTGCAATAAGATGATTTCACAAGTGTCAAGTCAGTTTTTGTGTCCGACAAAGTTATTGATAAAAGTGATAATATTAGAATAAAGTGCCTATCTTACAGAAAAATAAGTGCAATTTAATGTGTTCGTTACTTTATGTTTTTACACTTTTTTATTTAATCTTGGAAAACATGTCAACTAAATTGAGAAAATTTCGTTATCCTTGTGACGTCGTGTATAATTGGTCCCTTTCTCTGTTGCCACCTATTGTTCTTGATCATTTATTTGGGTAAAAGTATTTGCCTTTATACCAACATCAAACGCGCAAAACGTTTCTTAAATGTCGTCTTCCTTCTTCCACTAAAATTGCACAAAGTATTCATCGTCAAAAATGTGAAAAATGGAACAATCATGAAAAAAAAACTTCTAATTTTCGTACTTTAACGCTTTGTGGCAATTTTTTATCAGAATCGCTATGAAATTTTTAACTTTTTTCTGTTAAATATTTTTAGAAAATGATTTTATATGTTATTCGAAAAAAACACATATTTTTAGCTTTCTATATTATTAGATCATATGTTTTCTTCATTGTAGGAGGAGAAGCTGCTGTTTACAACGTTTTAATAATCTTTTATAAATAGAAACTATAATCAAATTCTTATTATAATACACGCGTTAATCTAGTTTTAAGATAATACATAAAATCTGTAAGGTATGAAAAACAACACATCTAACTTTTCAACTTTTCAAAATCTTTCAACCGCAAAAAATCACATAAAAAGGGAATAGATTATTTGATCCAACAGAATTCATAGTTTGAAATATCCTTTGTCTACGTCGCCATAGAGCAATATATATATAGCTAGGGAGTAGAAACTAAATTCCTTACTTGGTCTTCTGAACCTAAACTTTTGATTGATATCGCGCTAAGCTACAAATCCTTAACTCTATAACTACAATTTTTGATTTGTATGTTTAATCATAGAACTGTGAACTGTAGACCCATAAGAATTGGTCACCTGGCTTTCAAATAGTCATCGGACTTTCGATTGGTCTTCTGGCTTTCATTGATCAGCTTACTTTTGATTGGTTATCTGACTTTTTGATTGGTTATCTGACTTTTGATTGGTTATCTGGCTCTTGATTGGTTATCTGACTTTTGATTGTTTAACTTACTTTTGATTGGTTATCTGGCTTTTTGATTGGTTATCTGGCTTTTGATTGGTTATCTGACTTTTTGATTGGTTATCTGGCTTTTGATTGGTTATCTGGCTTTGATTTTTTATATGACTTTTTTGATTAGTTATCTGGCTTTTGATTGTTTAACTTACTTTTGATTGGTTATCTGGCTTTTTTATTGGTTATCTGGCTTTTTGATTGGTTATCCGGTTCTTAATTGGTTATCTGACTTTTTGATTTGTTATCTGGCTTTTGATTTGTTATCTGGCTTTTGATTGTTTAACTGGCTTTTGATTGGTTATCTGACTTTTTGATTGGTTATCTGACTTTTTTTATTGGTTATCTGACTTTTGATTAGTTATCTGGCTTTTGATTGGTTATATGGCATTTTGATTGGTTATCTGGTTTTAATTTGGTTATCAGGCTTTTGATTGATTATCTGACTTTTGATAGGTTGATCTTGCTTTGATTGGTGATCTGGCTTTTTTATTTGTTATCTGACTTTTGATTGGTTATCTGAATTTTGATTGGTTATCTGGCTTTTGATTGGTTATCTGGCTTTGATTGATTATCTGGCTTTGATTGGTTATCTGGCTTTTAAATTTGTTATCTGATTTTCGATTGGTTATCTGGCTTTTGATTGGTTATCTGGCTTTTGATTGGTTAGCTGGTTTTTGATTGGTTATCTAAGTTTTGATTAGTAATCTGGAATTTTGATTGGTTATCTAGCTTTGATTGGTTATCTGATTTTTGATTGGTTATCTGGCTTTTTGATTGGTTATCTGGCTTTTTGATTGGTTATCTGGCTTTTTGATTGGTTATCTGGCTTTTTGATTGGTTATCTGGATTTTAATTGGTTATCTGGCTTTTGATTGTTTAACTTACTTTTGATTGGTTATCTGACTTTTTGATTGGTTATCTGGCTTTTGATTGGTTATCTGGCTTTGATTGTTTATCTGACTTTTTTGATTAGTTATCTGGCTTTTGATTGTTTAACTTACTTTTGATTGGTTATCTGGCTTTTAAATTGGTCTTCTGGCTTTTGATTAATTAGGTTATCTAAGCTTTAATTGGTAATCTGGTTTTTTTGATTGATTGATTTGCGTTATATGTGAATTAAACTTTCAAATGTTGGAAACCTATTCCCCAAACCTTTACATATTTAAGCAAGAGATTAAGCGGATTAGTTAAAGATGAAACGGATTAGTGCTTTTAATCTTATTTTCTATTTGTCAACTAAACTGTTTTTAGATTAAGAATCCCAGAGGACTGGACTGAAGAGTACAGGTAAAAATATTTTACTTGAAATATTAATAAATTTATAATCTAAATACTTTCCTGCAAAGGTCTATCAAGAGATTTTAACGGCGTAATTGCAAGTGGCTCTTCGGTTATAGACTTTTATGTCAATTTGACCCCCCCCCCCTCTAAATCCCATGTTTGATGTCCAAATATGACAAATGATACATCATTGGAAAGCTCTTGTGCACTACTTTTAGAATCTGCAAAAAAATTTGCAAATTTGCAAAAATTGAATTTTTTATCGCAAAATTTTTGAAAAGCCCTTGACCATGCCATTTCAAATATGCAAAAATTTTTGCAAAATTTTAAATAACCTGATTTTTAATCAAGAAAAACTAAAAATGGTGCAAATTTCCTCTGACAGGTTGTTTGCAAAAAATTTGCAATTTTTTTTCGCAAAACTTGTGCATTTCCCTTCCTTATGTCAAAGGCTTTCCAAAAAGCAAAATTTTATCAAAATCTTACAGGTGGAAGTGGGTCAAAACAAAGATTTAGTTTGTTACAGGAAAAAGCAGTCATTCAGGCAGTTTGCCTTAGGACTCAGGCAGTTAGTATTAAAGCCCGGTTTTAGGCCTAAAGGGAGGGCTTTGGGTATGTAGGAAAAGTTAGAAAATTTCAACAGCCTCAGACCAATACTTTTTGAGTTATGTAAAAAAAAACTACGGGGGGGGGGCAAATTGACCCCCCCCCCTCAGCAGGAATAGGGTTAAATCTTTGTATGGGAGAAGAAAAAAAAATTATTATTTTTCAAAGGAGGTTTCTGACAAATTGACTTGGAGATATCTTCCTTATTTGATATATTTAATTTAATGAAACTTTGTAGTTTGAGAGTTCAATACAAAATAACGTTTATCGGTGAATTAAAAATCTTCATGAGCCTTTTTTTGGTATTTAATTCGGTTTTATGATAAAACACAATTATAGCATAAAGTCACTAAAATTATCCAACGGATGAATTGAAAACTCAAACCCAAAATCGATGAGAATTTTACCACTAACTTATTTGAAATTAAAGATAAAACAAATGTTTTATAGATCTAAAATGTATATATAATATGTCTATAGAGCTACAAAAAAGTAAAAGTGAATCAATGAGGTAAAGTCAAGATCTATGTGACTTAAACAAACGTTTTCTATGCTGAACCATTTTGAAATAAATGATTAACCCTATATAGGATACTGGATGTAGCCTGGATAGATCAGATCTGGAGACCTGATTGTATTTTCAAAAATGCAAAGGTAAAGCTGGGAATGTTTTAGATGGATAAGCCATACTCGATATCCACTGAACATACAGGCGTCGTATATATCAATACAATGAAGACGACTTTCGATTTCATTTTTTATTTCTACCAAACAGCATGGATATTGGATACACATAAACATGGAAACAAAGATAATGTGTCAATTAACAGCTTCTCTTTGTTTACTTGTAAACTTGTTATTTGAATACAGCTTGATGGAAATCAAAACTTAAAAAGAAAAGTCGTCTTTATTATATTAATTTAAACGCCGGTTTCTTGTACTTAACAAATGACGGGCTTAAAGTTAAATCGGGGATTCATTCAGTAAAGTTAGGTATAATCTTCGTTTTTTAGACACGCTAGAATTTCTGCTTTTTGGAGGTTTGTTAAAAAATGTAATTTTTAATTTTCAATTTAGTTTAATTTAGTCTTAAATATTAATATATAAGTAAATTAAATTTAATCTTTAATCTTAATCTTTAATCTTTAAACTTTAATTCAAATATTTAATTTGAAGGGACTATGATAGCCATTTATAACAACACTGTTATTTTGGTTCGCAGTGCTATAAAGTTTTTGGACAGAAATTTTCTTTTTATCGAGAAGGTTCAAGCCTTTTTAGATTTAATTTGAGGGACAAAATATAATCTAAAAAGGCGAGAACTTTCGAGATATAGAGAAAATTAAAGTCCAAAAACTTTACAGGATGTCGTACTAAAATAATAGTGTTATAGGTAATTTGTTGTAACGTTTGTGTCAAATAAGCGTTGAAACAAATTTGTCAAATAAGCTTGAAACAAAGCAGAAGTCAAAATATTAGGTTGATTTCAATTTTATTTTCATTTCAACTGAAAAAAATATTTCGGAAATATCCTAAATTTTTTTTGAGAAAATCCGGGAACCAATCAAAACTTTATAGCCCACGTGCTATAATGTATTGCTAATTTACCTTTATAGCACGATGATTACTTTATAGCACGTTCATTATGAAATTCACGATGAAGTGAGTAAGAATGATAAAGTACACAATAGTTTCATGAACATGTATTTCGAGTAACTCTCCAATATTACAGTGGCATGTCCAAAACACAATGTAACCCTTTAAATCTAAAAAAGAATGAAAGATATCGACCATTATCTCTCGGAAAATTATTTCGATTGTGATTTTGCAAAAAAAAACATCCCCGCAAAGTTAATAAGGTTTGAAAAGTACATGTTTCTGTTTACAGTCTTTTAGAAATATTTTTTTATAAGATTTAAAACCTACATTTTTCTTGTATAAAATTGAAAGGAATTGAAGTAATGTGTACAATATGGCAATTTGCGCCAAATTGTTGGGATGAAATTTGTGAAAAATTAAATTTCAAATTTTAAACAAAATGAATTTTCTGAATTATACCTTTCCTGAAGGAAAGGAAATTGAACACTTTATTTTTACAACAAACTGGTAACAATTGGCTTCATCATAAATCAGGGTTTGCATGGATTTTTGAGCTTTATTGATAAATATATTCAGTGGCGCAACTAGTGAGGGGGGGGGGGGCGAAATAAAAAATAAATAAAGCTGTTTTATTATTTAAAGTAAGAACAGCCTTTTTTTATTGTTGAAGGGTTGGCTCTATGGTCAATAATATACCAAATTCTTATAATAACCATGGCATGTTCTTGAGTTATATATACTTTCAACAGCTTTAAAATGAGAATTCTGTTCTTCTAGTGTCTTTTCATGTATTTCTTAGTGTTTGTTAGTTCCTGGCTTAGTCATATAAAATCCCCTATTACAGTCTACAATATGTTTTGTAATTGATCCACTAGTCATATTTGTCCACTATATAATTCCTTAATCGTACTTCCTGGCAGTCTTTGACTTTATTTCGTCTGTCCATAATTCAAAATAGTCTTCTGATCGAAATCCCTCTGTCCTTGTTTGCCAGTAAGGGGCTAAGCATGTTTTCCTCTTATAGTCTGCATAAGTCCTAATAGTCTGATATAATCCTAATTACATTTCTTGTTATTCTTCTTAGGTTGTCAGGTTTGTATAACCTTAAATGATATATGTATTGTAATACTCATGAGAAGTAACATATATGCAGGTTTTTTTGAGAGGATACATTAAGAATGACTGACTTTCTTTAAGTCAAAAACGAGAAAATAGTTAGAAATTCTTTTATAAATGATGCGCGAAGCGTCAAAGAATTATTTTTTTTCGTAATTGACAATATTTCATAAAATATGGGGGGCGAGAGGGGGTGAAATATGAATATGCTAGTTGCGCCACTGAATATAATTTATAGGAAAATGGTTGAAAATCTTTAAAATACTTATATTAAAAAATTAATTCGTGAAATACAGCTATGTTTTCAATCATAACTCATTCATAGTAGAGGTATTGAGGAGATTTTTTTTTTAATTATTTTACATGCGTACACGTATTCACTTTTTTGAAAAATCATGGTTGAAAAACGAGAAAAAATCAATTTAATCTTTTCCACAAGCTCTTATTTTCAAATCCCTATCTTTGCATTTCAATGCCATAGACCTTAGATATTTCAAACTATGAATTCTGTTATAGATCAAATAATTCAATTTTGAAATAGCAGACGTTTAAACCATCAGGTTGCAAAGAAAATGGGATTACAAAATTAAAGTTTCTGGCTTATGATTTAGCAGAGCTTTCGGATTCAAGCTGCATCTTATTTTCCACAGAGTTGAGGTAAAAAAACCGGTTTAATATTCTATTTGGCGGATTTTCATGGTAAAAATTGGAGCATTCTGGGTTTTTATGAAAACAAGACTCTATATGGAGCCTTATTCTCCATTAAAACCAACCAAGGTTTTATTTTCATTGAGCCTAACTCCTTAAGTCGAGCCGAAGATCTTGCAGCTGTCAATCACGTGACACAAGCTGCACGTCAGAGTGGAGTTGAAGATTGGGTCTTAAAAGTCGGGTTTAAGGAATTGCGACTCGATCCAAAGTTTTTAAATCACGAGCTTTAATGGTCTTTAATGGGATAATTGGCGCAATTTCAAGTAATCCTCTACATTAAAAGAGGCTTGCCCGATGCCGCAATAATTTATGCAACAAAAACTGTCAAAAGAAGCTCATCAGACTTTTATTTCGCTATTGCTATTTTTTATTTAGGAACGGTCGACGATCCAATGAAGACGACTTTTTATTAATAATCCTTTAATCCATACAAGCATTTTTGAAAGCTACAAGTTTACAAGTAAGCAAAAAGAAACTGATAATTGACATATTCTCTTTGTTTAAATTTATCAGTGTTAGTGCTGTTTAAAAATTTGGTAGAAATCAAGATTAAAATAGAAAGTCGTCTTCATTATATTGATAAACACGAGAATTACTGTATAGTTGGAACTATATATAAAATTTCAATCATTGTGTGATTTGAAAACGACAGTAAGGATGCTGCAACTATAAATATTAAGAATATATTAAATATCCAGATTCTTTAGCACTTTTTCATGGAGGATCATTTGAAATTGCGCATACAGTCCTTTTAGCAACTATTTTGTTTAATGCTTATTGTTGGTAAATATCCAGATTGTTCCATGGTAAGACACTTTGACCTTTCTATCAAAATGATTTTACAGACTGTATACATCTGGCTATTTTTGGAAACACGTGAGTAAAAAATACTTCAAATATGAAATGTAAAAAGATATTTTATGACACAAACAGTTCTTTTCTAGGAGATGCAGTTCCAGACACAAACAGTTCCTAATCATTATCTTTTCTAGGAGATGCAGTTTCAGACACAAACAGCTCCTAATTATTATCTTTTCTAATAGATGCAGTTTCAGACACAAACAGTTCCTAATTATTATCTTTTCTAATAGATGCAGATTCAGACACAACACAGTTCCTAATTACTATCTTTTCTAGGAGATGCAGTTTCAGACACAAACAGTTCCTAATTATTATCTTTTCTAGGAGATGCAGTTTCAGACACAAACAGTTCCTAATCATTATCTTTTCTAGGAGATGCAGTTTCAGACACAAACAGTTCCTAATTACTATCTTTTCTAGGAGATGCAGTTTCAGACTCAAACAGTTCCTAATCACTATCTTTGGCTCTATAGGAAAGACCAATTTCAAATCAGAAATACGCAAAAAAAATATTGAATAATGCACGTACAAGCTAGTTCATATAACAGATTTGTTTAAAAAATATATTTTTTATATAAAATATGGATTATAAATATGCAAATTTAAATGTTTGAAAACGCATTTAAACATAAAAGAAAAACATGCGAATATTATAATTTACTGCAGCAAAAATTGACTAGAAAAGACGCAAAAAACAGGATTTTTTGTCCTAATGAACTAAAAATCTTATCCTGATGCATTCACTGACGGATTTTAATAGATCAAAATTGAACCATTAGCTAACAGAATTGAAAGTTATTTAAAAAATCAACGTCATCATGTTACAAAGATATAAGGATCAGAAAATTAGAGTTTGTGGGAAATGTTCAGTTTCTTTGGACAAAATGTTGGTAAAAAAAGTAATGAAATTAAACTGTTCTTTAGAGACAAATCCTTACTATATATGGTAAAACTGACTGTAAAGGTAAGTGTCTCTAATAATACAGTGTAACCTAGCACAGAGATCTAGACAACTATACAAATGTGCACAAATTTTCAATCGTTTTGTTTTTACCTTAAAACTCGCAAATAGTTTTTTTTATAGTTCTAGCTGACAACTCTTAGATCATAGTAATCTCTTGCCACTATCTTTAGAACCCAATGTCGTAGATCCTAAATATTTCAAACTTTGAATTCTGTTAGATTGCTTAATATAAGCTTAAAATATTAAAGGTTTACATTATCAGATTGCAAAGATATAAGGATTGGAAAATTTGATTGATTTACTATAAGTGTAAGCCAGACGACCACCAAAATAAATCTTTGCATGTCGTACTTAACCTCGTAGCCTTTGTGTGTAACCTGGCATTATTATTATGATTCCATGAAATACTCTGTTATAAAAACCCTGGGTTTTTAGTAACGAAATTCTGCTGTTAAAAACTCCTTTATGATTAAATTAATTTTTTCGTAATTTAAAATTTTAAATTTAAAAACCTCATTAAATGGCAATTTTCATGTAATTTTCAATTATAAAATTCATTCAAGCAAAAATAGTTTTTATTTAAAGAAAAACATCAATTAGATTATAATATATTGCTGGTTCACTGGGTACATTTCACAGTATCTAATTAAAAGGACTGTAGATATAATTTCAAGTGATCCTCCATTTATAGAGGTGTAATGTTCAATTCACAATAGTACCCTTTAAACTTTGATCTGATTAACAATTAAAAATATGTTGTAAAGGTTTAATTCATACCGTTGTGATTTTTCAAATAAAGAGACACCTGAAATTACATTAACGATCCCTTTAAGTAAAAAAAGTTGTTTTAAAAAATAAATATTAGGCTGTAATTTATTCCTTGTTCATTGAGTACATGGTATTTAAAGATAGGGACACACTATTCAATTAAAGTGATTTCAAGGTATCCTCCATATACAAAAAGAGTTTAATGTCCAAATAAGAAGAAAAACATGGATACCTTTCAGGTTAATGCAAGGAAAGTTAATTCCAGTTGCGTATACTCTGCGTACATATTGAAACCAGTTCTCAGTTGTCTCTGGGCGGAATTTGTAAGCAAGACTAGATGCATCAGTGTTCGTTTAGTATCCTAGGAGGATAAAAGCATTGAATTTTAAAAATTTGATAATTCACATATTAGTTTCCGATGACCAGAATATTTCATTGATTTTTTATGTGAAAGATGGATCCCATGTCAGGCTGTGACATCCGTCTTGTGCTCACATTACCGCCCAGAGACAATAACTGTCCTTGCATTAAAACCTTGGATACCTTCACTTTTTTACCAAAACGAAGATTGAACGGGTAGCGTTGTGAATCGGGAATGCACATTTTTAAGCTATGTCACAGTCCTATAAAATAGAAATGTTGTTATTTGAAAATAAAATAATTAAACTGTAATTTGTCCCTGGTTCAATGTCCATGGAACACCTGCTTTTTTCAGTTTTTAATGCGCAGTAGTTTCACAATTCTCTCGGCAACGCGCTTAAATATGTTTTAAAGGTCGTTGTCCCCTAAAAACCTTTAAACACTTCTTAATGGTTATTTGGGATAAGTCAAGATTTAATCTAAGGTTTTCAGTCAACGTTTCAGATTGTCTAAAGGAGACAGAGAAAACAACTTACGCTTTGCAATGGAGTTGAGTCTTTGCCACAAACTTGAATATCCATTCCCTTTATCTTCGCAACCTGGCGGTGTAAACCTTTGATATTTTAAACTTAGATTATCTAACAGAGTTTATAGTTTGAAATATCTAAGTTCTACGACATTGGGTTGCAAAGATAGAGGTATAAAAAAAAAAACAGAGTTTATGGGGAAAACTCAATTCCTTTCAAGTTTCCTATCACAAATTTAAAACTAATTCGATCCAATTAGGTTGTAAAGATAAAGGGATTATATAAAATTGGAGTTTGTTCCGAAAAATCAGTTTCTTTATTGATAATATTTTGAAGTCCTCAGTTTCCAAAGACAGTTTACTAAAGTATTCGAGGTCTCTATAAAATGTAAAATTCAACATAGTATCATCATTTGTAGAATTTTGTTGGATGAAATTTATCATTCATCTATATTTGACTATTGATGCCGCTACTAATTTGAATTTGGCTCAAACAAATTATGTTAGGTGGACATTTGAAATTTGTGGAAATGCTTAACCCCCCCCCTCTATTTTTTATGTTTTCATTTTATTTATATTATCCTGTATATATCCTATATATATATATATATATATATGTATTATATATATATATATATAGATAATAGTTTGGGAACCCAGCGTGGATCAGGGGAGTCATAGTTAGTCCCACCGATTTCCCGCTTCTTGTCGTAAATCCCGATTTTAGCTATTTTTCCGACTCAACTTAGAATCTTAAAACCAAGCTAAAAACATTCCCGTGTTTAACCCGAGTTCCCCAATCAAAATTTGAGTCAAATCGGTCCAGGGGTCCCCGAGTTATGATCGGACAAACTAATGAACAAACAGAGATACAATTATATACATAGATTATACAGAGGATTGCCGCAAGGCATGAAACATCATGTACAAGTAAGATTCTGAAATACATTAAAATGTTTTAAATTGAAGCTGATTTTTAAAATACATATACAACGACGTGTATATATATTTTAGTTATCCTGTGGTATGGATTTCTCTCACTATCCTCATGATACTCAGGTATTACCTTTCAGTGACCAAGACGTAGAGTACATACATTCACAGAGTGGGTACCTTCTAGCCACATGTTGTAAACATTACAGAGAGTATATCGAATATTAGAGTGGACCATTGAACAATAGATTACTCATATTTCAGAGAGTATACAATTGCTCCTATTTTTTTATTGACAAACCTTAATCATCTTGGACAGACAATAGAGAAAGTTGAAAAAATTATGGCAAATTTTTATTTGTTACGATTGTTTGGCTTAGTCTTAACAATCTAAATGATATTAGAGATGCAATACATCGATTGTTACAGCATTTAAAAAACCTCAAACTAGCCTTCCACGAAAAAAGTAAAAAATATAAAGCTTTGCAAAATCATATTTTCTAAACTTAAATTTGAAAGAAATGAATTCTTGAAAAAAAAGATAGTTTTTTCCTAGGAATTAAAGTTTATCAATGCAAAATTTTTATTTAAATACATTTTACATTTTAGGTTTATTTGTAATTATTCTTAAGTACTACTTAAAGATGTGGAATATAAACTTTTAAGTCTTAATAATTCCCTTATATCTTTCCATTCATTAACAAAATTACTGAAGTCTGGAGGAAATATTAGAAATATGAATTTCAAATCAAACTACTCTACGTATTTGGAAATTGTTCATGGTATTAATTATAAATCATAGCGAATATATAAACATAACAGGGTTATCCAGAAAGGATGAGACTTCAGAGACGATTGAACGATTTTAGTCCGTATTCTTGCATCCAGGGTTTCTATAGAGCATAATTGAATGCATCGTTTGTGCGTAATCCTTTATATTTATATATATATATTTATATATATGTATTTTTGTTTAGATTTGTTATATAATGATTGAATCCCTCTCCTATACTACAAATGATCTTATATTTAAGGTAATTCAATAAATGAAATAGCTTGGGAACCCAGCTTTGCCTGAAAACCTAGTTTTTTCCACTTAACTAACGTACAGTAAACCCTCTGTACTATAATCTAGTACTGTACAGTATAACCTATGTACTATTTCTTGTAATGTACAGTATACCTCTGTACTACACATTGCACTGTACAGTGTACTATCTGTACTATATCTACTAATGTACAGTGTACCCTCTGTACAATATCTAGTACTGTAAAGTGCACCCTCTTTACTATATCTAATACTGTACAGTATACCCTCTGTACTACACATTGTACTGTAAAGTGTAGTCTCTGTACTATATTTACTAATATACAATGTACCCTCTGTACTATATCCAGTACTGTACAGTATAACCTCTGTACTACACCTTGTTCTGTTTAGTGTACTCTCTGTACTATATCTATCATTGCACAGTGTTCCCTCTGTACTATCTCCAGTACTGTACAGTGTACCTTCTGTACTACACCTTGTACTGAACAGTGTACCCTCTGTAATATATCGAGTATTTTACAGTGTATCCTCTGTACTATCTCTAGTACTGCACAGTGTACCCTCTGTACTATCTCTTGTACTGAACAGTGTACCTTCTGTACTACACCTTGTACTGAACAGTGTACCTTCTGTAATATATCGAGTATTGTACAGTCTACCCTCTTTACTATCTCTAGTACTGCACAGTGTACCCTCTGTGCTTTATCTTGAACTTTATAGTATATCCTCTGCACTGCACCCTGTACTGTACAGTTTACCCTCCGTGCTATTTCTAGTACTGCACAGTGTACCTTCTGTATTATATCATGTACTCTACAGTAAACCCCCTGTATACTTTATCTTGTATTGTACAGTGGAACTTCACAGACCCTCTGTACATAAGTCCTGAGATATCTCTACCGCAGCTTGAAGTTGAACAGGCGACTACAGAGGACTGTACAATAGATTACAGTACAGGTAATTAATTATAATTATAAAATACAAAGGACTGTACAATAGATTACAGTACAGGTATTTAATTATAATTATACAATACAGAGGACTGTACAATAGATTACAGTACAGGTAATTAATTATAATTATACAATACAGAGGACTTTACAATAGATTACAGTACAGGTATTTAATTATACAATAAAGGGGACTTCACAATGGATTACAGTACAGGTATTTAATTATACAATACAGAGGACTGTACGATAGATTACAGTAAGGGTAATTAATTATAATTATACAATACAGAGGACTGTACAATAGATTACAGTAAGGGTAATTAATTATAATTATACAATACAGAGGACTTTACAATAGATTACAGTACAGGTAATTAATTATAATTATACAATACAGAGGACTGTACAATAAATTACAGTACAGGTAATTAATTATACAATACAGAGGACTGTACAATAGATTACAGTACAGGTAATTAATTATAATTATACAATACAGAGGACTGTACAATAGATTACAGTACAGGTAATTAATTATAATTATACAATACAGAGGACTGTACAATAGATTAGTGTACAGGTAATTAATTATACAATACAGAGGACTGTACAATAGATTACAGTACAGGTAATTAATTATAATTATACAATACAGAGGACTGTACAATAGATTACAGTACAGGTATTTAATTATAATTATACAATACAGAGGACTGTACAATAGATTAGTGTACAGGTATTTAATTATAATTATACAATACAGAGGACTGTACAATAGATTACAGTACAGGTAATTAATTATAATTATACAATACAGAGGACTGTACAATAGATTACAGTACAGGTAATTAATTATACAATACAGAGGACTGTACAATAGAGTACAGTACAGGCATTTAATAATACAATACAGAAGACTGTACAATAGATTACAGTACAGGTAATTAATTATACAATACAGAGGACTTTACAATAGATTACAGTACAGGTATTTAACTATACAATACAGAGGACTGTACAATAGATTACAGTACAGGTAATTAATCATAATTATACAATACAGAGGACTGTACAATAGATTACAGTACAGGTAATAAATTATAATTATACCATACAGAGGCCTGTACAACAGATTACAGTACAGGTATTTAATTATACAATACAGAGGACTGTACAATAGATTACAGTACAAATAATTAATTATACAATACAGAGGACTGTACAATAGAGTACAGTACAGGTATTTAAATATACAATACAGAGGACTGTACAATAGATTACAGTAAAGGTAATTAATTATACAATACAGAGGACTGTACAATAGATTACAGTACAGGTAATAAATTATAATTATACCATACAGTGGTCTTACCGTCTCATCAAATATAAACAACCCAATAATTAATTTTTTCCCATGAAAATAAATTAAACATGTTTATCAAATTAAAGGGACTGTAGACGTAATTTCAAATGACTCTCCATTTTAAGCATCGATTCACAACGGTACCTTTAAAAGCATTGAATGAGCTATCCAAGTTTCTCTTTTTTTCAATGATTATCGTTAGTTGGTAGTTTTTCGCTAAAGGGACTTGCGAATTTATGCTTGAAAAAACAATGGAGGAAATTTTCAAAAAATACAACCATATCTTCCACATTATTGATCAGATACAGGTTTAAAAGGTGCCTTTGTGAATTTATTAATGATGTACTGTCTACTGTACTGTCTACAGTCTTTTTTTAAGGGAGTGTTCGCGAAAAATGAAAGGGGGTATAGGCTTACAGCAAAAAATAAGCGCTTTTGATCGCTACTAATCTTACTTATATCTGTTGCGTCTATAAGGAGAAAATTGTTAAAAACGACTTATACTGAAGAACGTAACGCCCATACAAATTGAGAAAGAATTGGAACATACGACTCGGATGGTAAAAAAATCCATATCATTTCAAACAAATCATTCAAATATTACAACCTACATCGACGCATTCGTATATAGTTAATATTTCATAATATTTTTTATTTGTAATGCACTTAAAACGCCGAAATAGTTGTCCGCGAGGTGTCTCTGTTCTCTATGCTTTGAATGATTTCACGTGGCAGAGACACCTAGCGGAAAAACGTCGTTTTAAGTGCATTGCATATAAACAAATAAAAAATATTATGAAACATTAACTTTATACTAATGGTTCGAAAAATAATCGATGTCGAAAGATTTTAATATTTCAATGATTTGTTTGATATAAAATTGATTTGTTTACGATCCGAGTTGAATGTTGCATCTTTCTGAATTTGTATGGACACTATTATTAGTATTAGTCGTTTTTAACAATTTTCTCCTTATAGACGCAACAGCTAGAAGTAAGATTAGTAGCGATCAAACGCGCTTTTTTATCGCATAAAGCCTATAACCCCTTTCATTTTTCGCGAACACTCCCTTTAAAACATGTTGAAAATTTATCGTTTAACAGAAACTTTTCTCTTCTATGAGAATTTTGATTAGGGTTTTAATATAAAAACATTAAACTGTTTAAGTAGTTTGAAACTTTTAAATTTCAACTGAATACTTGTGGTAGAAGCTGTTAAAAGACGGCTTTGATCTTGAGATTGATCCTCACCATTTTGAACAAAAAGTCTTCCAATTACTTCCATTTTTTTGTTTTGTACTGGCCTGACTCAAAATTTTTTTAATTAATGGGGGATTTTTTTCTTAACAGACTTTCAAAAAAATCTACCCCCTATATTCTACACAGAGCTAGACATGGTATATTGCAAATACAGGGTGTCCCAATAAACATGGGAATTTAGTGATGACTTTTATGTCGTCTTCCATCCATGCGGCAATTTTTCATGAACACAATTATTGCAGTATTCCAGCTTGAACATCTAATATCGAAAACGCCTGGTCTTGATATTTTCAAAATGTGGTCTACCATTTTTGGATCTTTAAAATTGACGGAGATATTGCGAATTTGGACAAATTTCCATTTATTTAATAAATCAAAACAGCCTTAATATGTAATATCTTCGTTAATGTTTAAGTTACAAGAAAAGTATATGAGTAGAGACCACTTTATTAAAAGCTCGTCAGACATACAGCCTTGTTTTTTTACTTTCTTTGCCTTGCCTTAAATATCAGAAATCAAAGACGACTTTCAAGTCGTCTCTCAATTCCCATGTTTATTGAGACACCCCGTAGTTTATTTATTCAATATGAAATTGATCCAGAATAATTGTTCTTTAATTTTTTCTATTATCAGTCAGGATAGCATCTAGGAAGTAGAAATTTCCGCCATCAACTTCTAAACGATTTTTAATAGTTTATCATGGTTTACAGCTTCATGGTAGGTTCCATAAGGCCTTTATGGGCCTTTGCGGTTCCAAATCGAACCGGAAAGAATTGGAAATCTTAATTTTAGTTTACTCTGTATTAATGTTCTATTTTGCAGACGGAACGTATTTCATCTATTATATATCCATGGTATTTCAGTTTTGTCATGTTGACGGAACGTATTTCAGTTTTGTCGTGTTGATGGAACGTATTTTCAGGAACATTTACATGTCTGGCTGCTGTGTTCCGTATGAAACGAAACCCTGGGTTCTTGTTCTTCTCAACCTACATTCCATCTGTCCTGATCGTAATCATGTCCTGGATATCATTCTGGATACCACCAGAGAGTACTCCAGCCAGGTACTAAAGATTTTCATAGTACTCCAGGTAGGTACTTGAATCCTTTATAGAACTCCAGCTAGGTAATATAGTCATTTTTAGTTCTCCAGGTAGGTACTGGAGTCCTTTTTATAGTACTCCAGCTAGTAAATGCAGTCCTTTATAGTAATCCATCTAGTCGCTGGAGTCCTTTATAGTACTCCAAGTGTAGGTACTTAAGTCCTTTATAGTACTCCAGCTAGGAACTGAAGTCCTTCATAGTAATCCAGCTAGGTACTGGAGTCCTTTAAAGTACTCCAGCTAGAGATCGTAGTCTTTTTAGTACTCCAGATAGGCACTGGAGTTCTTTTAAATCTCTGGCTAGGTACTGGAAACGTTTATAGTACTCAATCTATGTACTGAAGTCCTTCATATTACTCCAGCTAGGAACTGGAGTCCTTTATAGTACTTCACCAAGGTACTGGAGTCCAATAGTACCCCAGGTAGATACTGAAGTTCTTTATAGTACTCCAACTAGGTACTGGAGTCCTAAATAGTACTCCAGCTATGCACTGGAGTCATTTAAAGTACTCTCTTTAGATACTGAAGTCCAGTACTCCAGCTGGTACTTGAGTTCTTTTTAGTACTTTCTAGGTACTGGAGTCCTTTATAGTACTCTCTAGGTACTGGAGTCTTCATATTACTCCAGCTAGGTACTAGAGTCCTTTTAAGTACTTCACCTAGGTACTGGAGTCCTATAGTACCCCAGCTAGGTACTGGAGTCCTATATAGTACTCCAGCTTGGAATAGAGTCCTATATAGTATCAGGCTAGGTACTAGAGTCCTTTATAGTACTCCGGCTAGGTACTTGAGTTCTTTATAATACTCTGGCTAGGTTCTGGAGTTCTTTATAGTACTCCGGCTAAAGTTGAAGAATTCCTGATAATAATTTTTAATTAACTATTTATTAGAGTAACACTGGGAGTGACAGCTCTTCTAACTTTGACCACTCAAAATACTCAAGCTCAGGCGTCTCTACCACCAGTCTCATATCATAAGGTAAAAATCATAAAAAAATAAAAAAGTAAAATTATAACCAAATTTTATTCTCCTTTTTCCTCAAATATTCATTATAAATAAAATTTTATATCAAATTTTATTCTAAAAATACTATTTCTATGAAATTAAGTTTTTCATTTGCAATTATCTCAAACATGTAGGTTTGATATTTCTACTTAAAAAATGGCTATCAGATAATCTTCATACGAATCTGAAGGACTTGATTTATTTTCAAACTCTCTCTTCTCTAATCTAGCTCCCACATACCTTCCTGCCTTCTATATCATTCCTTATCCATCCAACCTTCTCCATCTTTCTCTCTCCATCCTTCAACATCATAGTTTCTCTGTCCTACCTTCAATATCATAGCTTCTCTGTCCTACCTTCAATATCATAGCTTCTCCATCCTACCTTCATCATCATAGCTTCTCTGCCCTACCTTCAACATCATGGCTTCTCCGCCCTACCTTTCTCATCATAGCTTCTCCGTCCTACCTTCATCATCATAGCTTCTCCGTCCTACCTTAAACATCAAAGCTTCTTCGTCCTACCTTCATTATCATATATTCTCCGTCCTACCTTCATTATTACAGCTTCTCTGTCCTACCTTCATTATCATAGATTCTCCGTCCTACCTTCATCATCATAGCTTCTCTGTCCTACCTTCAACATCATAGCTTCTATGTCCTACCTTCATCATCATAGCTTCTCCGTCCTACCTTCATCATCATAGCTTCTCCGTCCTACCTTCAACATCATAGACTCTCCGTCCTACCTTCATCATCATATTTGATATTATAGGCAATAGATATCTGGATAATGACCTGCATCGTATTTGTTTTTCTCAGCCTGATAGAATTTGCAGTTGTTAATTCATTACTGGACGAACCTAAAACAAGGTATCTACCTACCTACCTACCCTACATACCTACCTACCTACCTACCTACCTACCTACCTACCTACCTACCTGTTTACCTACCTTTCCGCCGACCTACCTACCTACTTACCTCTACCTGCCTACCTACTTACGTACCTACCTACCTACCTACCTACCTACCTAGCTACCTAGCTACATACTGACCTATCTACCTACCTACCTCAATACCCTGCCTACCTACCTACCTACCTGCCTGTCTACCTGAATATTTTCAGAACAAAGTTAGAGAGAGCTCAACCATGTTTATATTGGGAGCTGAACCCAACAAGGTTATTATTTTTCTTTGTAATTATTTTGCTTTGTTTAAAACGATGTCTGTTTGTTAAAGTGTCTGGGTAAACAGTTTATAAATTCAACAACTTTTCAAAACGACGATGGAAGACGATGGAACAATCTTAAAATCTTCAAAAGTTCTCGGATTTACTTGGAACCATGAAAAATTGTTCAAAAAACTAGTAATAGTTAAAAAAAGTTATTGATGATAAATCTATATTTTGTGTCTATAATAAACATAGAAAATTGTTCCCCTTGTATAAGACTAACGTCACGAATTTCTGAAAACGTTGTGAAAAGCTCAGAAATTGATTTTTCTTGATGTTAACGAAGTAATAAAAAAATAATTATCCGGTTTTTGTGTCAGAAAATGAGGCTCGAATTCTGGAAAGATCTGTTTATGAAGACAACTATTATTTTATTAATTAATTAATTATTAATTATTTTGTAATTGCTTAATTTACCACAAAGCTTAATCATTTCTGAATGGCGGTTTTTTTGTCTTTTAGAACAGTCAGTATTTTCATCTGTGGGTTCCGTACAAAAGTAACTCGTGCATTTCTTGCTGAAGAAGCAATAGAGAAATCATCAGAATTATATACTTGTGAAGCTAGAAAAACGACGTTTTCTTTCACAATTATGTTAAAATAAAGGTTTCAAGTGTACGGTTTGGAATCAGGAAAACTCTTTTTTCAGTTCCTTGAAATTACATTTACAGCCCTTTTTAGCAAAAAAAAGCAGGACAAGATTTCTTTTCTCCAAAATTTGGTTTTTTAGAACTTTTTTTGTGAAAAAGTAATTTTATATTTACGAAAAAAATCTTTTTTTAACCGCTTTTTTCAGTATGAAAGCTTTTAAATCGCTCTATTTTGTTATAAGTTTTTCTAGTTCTTATGTTATATTCTATAGAAGAGAGTTTTTTACCTCTTCCTTTACTATTTAGAGAAGAGGTTCTGCTGGTTGATAAAGCATCAAGAGTTTTCTTCCCTGTCACATATTGTCTTTTTGTTGGAGTTTTCTGGAGCGTTTTTGAGGAGAGTACATATCAAGAGAGTCCTTTTTCTAGATCCTAGATCTTAGATCCTAGATCTTAGATCTTAGATCCTAGATCTTAGATCCTAGATCTTAGATCTTAGATCCTAGATCTTAGATCCTAGATCCTAGATCTTAGATCCTAGATCTTAGATCCTAGATCTTAGATCCTAGATCTTAGGTCCTAGATCTTAGGTCCTAGATCTTAGGTCCTAGATCTTAGAACCTAGATCTTAGATCCTAGATCTTAGATCCTAGATCTTAGATCCTAGATCTTAGATCCTAGATCTTAGATCCTAGATCTTAGATCCTAGATGTTAGATCCTAGATCTTAGATCCTAGATCTTAGATCCTAGATCTTAGATCCTAGATCTTAGATCCTAGATCTTAGATCCTAGATCTTAGAGCCTAGATCTTAGATCCTAGATCTTAGATCCTAGATCTTAGATCCTAGATCTTAGATCCTAGATCTTAGATCCTAGATCTTAGATCCTAGATCTTAGATCCTAGATCCAAGATCTTAGATTTTATGTTATTTAAATATCAAATATATATAAAAGTCTTGGAACCTAAAAGTTCACGGGCCATTGATTAAATCATTTATGTCAAGTTAAAACAAATTTTATGATATTGTAAAAGTTATATATTCATGTACATATAGAGATATTATATATTCATATCTAGAGATATTGTTTCATGTATAGAGATATTGTAATTGTTATATATTCATGTATAGAGATCAAGGAGTATGAAATAGAAGGGAGATATAGCTGACACGGACTGCTCTACCACATGAGTATACATGCTTTGCAGACGGTACTTCATTTGAATAAGAAATATTTGTCTGATGAAGAATTACCGCGTATACAATAACCTATTCTGAATGTATCTTATACAAATGGAGTACCTGTCTGTAAAGCATGCATAATCATTGATCATATGGTAGGGCGGGCCGCGTCAGATATTGTAATATTTTTGTATAGAGATATTGTAATATTTATATATAGAGATATTGTAATTTTTATATATAGAGATATTGTAATATTTATATATAGAGATATTGTAATATTTATATATAGAGATGATGTAAATATCAGAATATTTTATTTAAAAATCTCTGGATCAAGTATTGATCTCAATTTTAAAGAGATCTACGGATTAATTTAATTCCTCCTTGTTAACCCAAAACAGTGATACCCGGAAGAGATACCTTAAAAGATGAGATCAAGCATTGATCCTCAAATTAAAAGTGGATATCGAGATCAAGCATTGATCCTTAAATTTAAAAGTGGATATCGAGATCAAGCAATTATCCTCAAATTTGAAAGTGGATATCGAGATCAAGCATTGATACTTAAATTTAAAAGTGGATATCGAGATCAAGCAATTATCCTCAAATTTAAAAGTGGATATCGAGATCAAGCATTGATCCTCGAATTTAAAGTGGATATCAAGATAAAGATTTGATCCTCGAATTTAAAAGTGGATACCGAGATCAAGATTTGATCCACAAATTTAAAAGTGAATATTGAGATAAAGTGTTCAAGATTGAAGATACTCCACACAAAAGTTCCGATCCCTAGGGAGACCTTCAACACTCGTAATTATAAGTCCTGATAGATTGAAAATAAATCTAATATGGAAATATCAAATTTATAGGTGTCCCAATAAACATGGGAATTCAGTGACGAATTCGATATCGTCTTTTCAAATAATTATTTGATTTAGTATGGTGATACCTACTAAGAAAGCTGTGATCTATAAGAGTTTCATCTGCTATGTTCACATTTTGTTTGCTTATGTTTTGACTGCATACGGTTGTGCAAGAAAATTGCAGTTTACAAACAGAGTAAACAATTGTCTCTGTTCATCTTGCGGAGACATTATAGGCAGATCTTTGCAGTCTTTTACCCTTTTCATTGAAAAAATATGGTGAACAGTCCCTGTAAGGCCCCTGACCAACAGTATGAATATGGCGAACAGTCCCTTTAAGGCCCCTGACCAACAGTATGAATATGGCGAAAGTCCCTGTAAGGCCCCTGACCAACGGTATGAATATGGCTCTGTATAAAATTAATTAATCTGTTTCCACGTGAAATTAACTATGCATTAAACACACCATTCATAACCAACATTCTCCTTACTCTATCTTTTAAATTTCCCAGGCATCATAGTTCAGATTTTCTATGCACCATAGTTCAGGTTTCCCATGCATCCTAGTTCAGGTTTCCCATGCATCCTAGTTCAGGTTTCCCATGCATCTTAGTTCAGGTTTCCCATGCATCCTAGTTCAGGTTTCCCATGCATCCTAGTTCAGGTTTCCCATGCATCCTAGTTTGCATCATAGTTCAGGTTTCCCATGCATCCATAGTTCAGGTTTCCCATGCATCCTAGTTCAGGTTTCCTATGCATCCTAGTTTAGGTTTCCTATGCACCATAGTTTAGGTTTCCCATGTATCCTAGTTCAGGTTTCCCATGCATCCTAGTTCAGGTTTCCTATGCACCATAGTTCAGTTTTCCCATGCATCCTAGTTCAGGTTTCCTATGTATCATAGTTCAGGTTTCCCATGCATCCTAGTTCAGGTTTCCTATGCACCATAGTTCAGGTTTCCCATGTATCATAGTTCAGGTTTCCTTTGTATCATAGTTCAGGTTTTCCATGCATCCTAGTTCAGGTTTCCTATGTATCATAGTTCACGTTTCCCATGCATCCTAGTTCAGGTTTCCCATGCATCCTAGTTCAGGTTTCCTATGCATCCTAGTTCAGGTTTCCTATGTATCATAGTTCAGGTTTACCATGTATCCTAGTTCAGGTTTCCCATGCATCCTAGTTCAGATTTCCCATGCATTCTAGTTCAGGTTTCCCATGCATCCTAGTTCAGGTTTTTAATGAACCATAGTTCAGGTTTCCTATGTATCATAGTTCAGGTTTCACATGCATTTTAGTTCAGGTTTCCTATGCATCCTAGTTCAGGTTTCCCATGCACCATAGTTCAAGTTTCCTATGCATCCTATTTCAGGTTTACTATGTATCATAGTTCAGGTTTCCCATGCATCCTAGTTCAGGTTTCCCATGCATCCTAGTTCAGGAGGTTTCCTATGCATCATAGTTCAGGTTTCCCATGCATCCTAGTTCAGGTTTCCCATGCATCCTAGTTCAGCCTAGTTCAGGTTTCCCTTGCATCCTAGTTCAGGTTTCCTATGCATCCTAGTTCAGGTTTCCCATGTATCATAGTTCAGGTTTCCTATGTATCATAGTTCAGGTTTCCCATGCATCATAGTTCAAGTTTCCTGTGTATCATAGTTCAGGTTTCCCACGCATCATAGTTCAAGTTTCCCATGCATCCTAGTTCAGGTTTCCTATGCACCATAGTTCAGGTTTCCCATGCATCCTAGTTCAGGTTTCCCATGCATCCTAGTTCAGGTTTCCTATGTATCATAGTTCAGGTTTCCTATGTATCATTGTTCAGGTTTCCTATGCATTCTTGTTCAGGTTTCAAATGCATCCTAGTTCAGGTTTCCTATGCACCATAGTTCAGGTTTCCCATGCATCATAGTTCAGGTTTCCCATGCATCATAGTTCAGATTTCCTATGCATCCTAGTTCAAGTTTCCCATGCTCGATAGTTCAGGTTTCCTATGCATCCCAGTTCAGGTTTCCTATGTATCATAGTTCAGGTTTCCCATATATCCTAGTTCAGGTTTCCCATGCATCCTAGTTCAGGTTTCCTATTCATCCTAGTTCAGGTTTCCTATGTATCCTAGTTCAGGTTTCTCATGTATCCTAGTTCAGGTTTCCCATGCATCCTAGTTCAGGTTTCCTATGCACCATAGTTCAGGTTTTCCATGCATCCTAGTTCAGGTTTCCTATGTATCATAGTTCAGGTTTCCTATGTATCATAGTTCAGGTTTCCCATGCATCATATTTCAGGTTTCCTATGTATCATAGTTCAGGTTTCCCATGCATCAAAGTTCAGGTTTCCCATGCATCCTAGTTCAGGTTTCCTATGTATCATAGTTCATGTTTCCTAAGCATCATAGTTCAGGTTTACTATGTATCCTAGTTCAAGTTTCCTATGCATCCTAGTTCAGGTTTCCATGCATCCTAGTTCAGGTTTCCTATGCATCATAGTTCAGGTTTCCTTTGTATCATAGTTCAGGTTTCCCATGCATCATAGTTTAGGTTTTCTATGCATGTTCAGGTTTCCTATGCATCATAGTTCAGGTTTTTTATGCATCATAGTTCAGGTTTACTATACATCATAGTTCAGGGTTCCTATGCATCCTAGTTCAGGTTTCCTATGCATCCTAGTTCAGGTTTCCTTTCAGGTTTCCTTTGCATCATAGTTCAGGTTTCCCATGCATCATAGTTAAGGTTTTCTATGCATGTTCAGGTTTTCTATGCATCATAGTTCAGGTTTCCTATGCATCATAGTTCAGGTTTTTTATGCATCATAGTTCAGGTTTACTATACATCATAGTTCAGGTTTCCTATTCTTCATAGTTCATAGTGGGAAAACGCGTAGGCTCCTGTGATAGATAACATTATCTAATTTCTAAAATATTAAATAGTCTGGATTATTTGAAGTATAGGCCCGTGAAAGTTTGAACGGGAACAGTTCGGGGCAAAACCTGTTTATTCTTTGACATTTAGAAATAGATACAGAACCCCTCCTCCTCCTCTCTAGTTTACTCGTATCTAGTTAGATCAACGATGTTATAGTATATAGAGTTATGATGTCCGCTAATCCTTTACTAATTGTACAGGCCATGTACTCCACTTCCAAAGGTCAATCTGTATATTACAGTACTCGGGGGTGATTTCTGAAAATATTTATTTTCATTTAAGCAGAAAAAAGTTTTCAATCAAAAACTCTGGGCTACATGGATCTCGGTAATTTATATAACTAAAAAATAGATAACTTTTCTTTATTTTCAATTACACTTTTAAAGGAAAACTTAAACACTAATAATTCAAAATAATATTGGAATATCTTACTAAAAATGGGTTACTTTAAAAAGACTTTTATTCATAAATTGTCATACAATTTTTGTTTCAAGCATGAAAATACTTGATTTGAGAAACCAGGGTATCCATCAACTTTTGCACTCAAGTTTCTAAGCATACTCTCATGAGGCAAACAATCTTCTAAACAGTTCTGAACAAACCTAAAAATAAAAGATATATCAAATATCAAACTATTTTAACGATTACTAGACTAATCTTATATTTCAATTGCGAACAAGGGCGCATACAAAAATAAATGTAGGGGGGGGGGGCAAAATATGCGCCAAAAAAATGTTGCCCCCCCCTAAGAGCTTCTAGGGGGGGGCAGGTCTAGGTAGGGCCCCCTCCCTGTATACGCCCTTGATTATGAACATTTGCTCTTTGTATACAGTGAACAAACACATAAACAAAAAAGTTCGCGGATTTTATTCACAAGTTTGTTGCCAAAAAATCTTTGATGTTAAAAAAGATGGATGAAAATCATGTTGTATGAGTTCCACCCCCCCTCGCCTTTCTAGGGAACTTAAACTGTGCTTAACTAACCTGTAGGCTTGCGCCTAATTCTCTGAAAAATCTCGCCAGGAATTTGAGAAGCAGAAGCCATTAGTAGCTCCATGGTACTCTCTTAGATGGATATTTTTGGCACGCAGTTTTAAGTGTATCCTGGAGATCTTCCACAGTTTTTTAACGTTTTTGAAGGTTGTAACATCATCTCTCTCTGTATTTCATTCCCATTTCCGCACTATCTTGGAGAAGTTGAATAGTTTCTTGAGAAGAAGGCAGGGCATAATTATGGTCTTTCTTTATCACTTGGACATTGTTCCACAACTTTTTACCATAGAGACTTCTATAGCATTTATTTTTAAAATACCGACTGCATATCCGGTTAGGAGAATCTGTTTTCCATTTGACTATTGCAATCCACTTCCCTCTTATCGTGTGCAGGATTACATTTTTATAGGAAGACGTACTAATGCAGTCTTTTACAGAGCAATATTCCATGGTTAGTATACGATTCTGATAGAACTGAATTTTAGATACAAAACCTCCCCATACACTTGTACTCTGAAAGCGTACTGCATATTTGATGTGTGTACTGTATGATATAAGCATAGAGAATAGAATATATAGAGAGGAATTTAATGGAAAAAGTGTAAAACGGCCATTTTGTTGTACTGTTTCCATACTGCAGGTGTACTTTACATATTTATGCTATATAACCTGTTGGGCCCTGGAATATCATTATATAAATCTAAAATTATTGTTAAAAGAAAAGCAAATTATGAAATAGGCTGGTTTCATAATTGACCAATGATCATTTCACATAGACTCTATGCCTTTCACTTTACAAACGATGATTTTTCGTTTTAACTATATATCAAATGATGTTTTTATTCACCTAATTCATTATAAAGTTTATTTAACAGTTTAAAAAATTCGACATTGAAATGGATAGTCTAGGGAACATACTGTATTTGATACAGGACCCCTCCTCCTCTCTAGTTTACTCATATCTAGTTAGATACAGGACCCCTCCTCCTCTCTAGTTTATTCATATCTAGTTAGATACAGGACCCTTCCTACTCTCTAGTTTATTCATATCTAGTTAGTTACAGGACCCCTCCTTCTCTCTAGTTTACTCATATATAGTTAGATACAGCACCCCTCTTCCTCTCTTGTTTACTCATATTTAGTTAGATACAGGACCCCTCCTCCTCTCTAGTTTACTCATATCTAGTTAGATACAGGACCCCTCCTCCTCCTCTCTAGTTTACTCATATCTAGTTAGATACAGGACCCCTCTTCCTTTCTAGTTTACTCATATCTAGTTAGATACAGGACCCCTCCTCCTCTCTAGTTTACTAATATCTAGCTAGATACAGGACCCCTCCTCCTCTCTAGTTTGGGTTAAAGGGATTGTAGACGTAATTCACAATATCTGAAGTAGAAAAAAAAGAATTTTTCATCATATATCATCTGAAAATGGTTTCAGCCAATTTATGCCAATTAAATGTTTTTCAAATTGTCATTTAAAATTGATTATTCTAAATTATTGCTTTGCTGTAGAAACAATTGAGAAAAATTGTCAAAACTAAACTTAGCAAGGAAATCAACGAACACTCCCACATTTATGATCCGTCAGAGGCTTAAAGGGAGTGTTCGCGAAAAGGTTTACATGGTCACTTGAAATTATGTTGATTGTCCCATTAAGTAGAAAAAGATTATGAAGTATTAAAAGCTCATGAATAAAAAGATCATTAAACCCACAAAAACATTACACCATTTTATCTTGGCCATAGGTCATTGTATGCCAATGGACAAGGGTTACCTTCAAAGAATTAAACTTTAATGGCAACCTGACTATAGGACGGTTTCAAGGTAAAAAGGTAAAATTCCATGATTTGGCAAAAATGTTGGAAAGCGTTAATCTGCTCTTGGAATCCAGATATTTACGAAATTTATAACAACTTTGATTATTCTAAATTGTGGCTCGCGGATTTCTGTCAGAGGAATTTGTCCAAATTAAAATCAGATCAAGTGACAACACGTTATGTAAAAGTGACAAAGTGACCCTCCATTTAAAGCGTGGGATGTCCTATGCTCATTAAACCTCTTTCCGATCAAAAATAGTTGAGATATCGTAATTTTTCCGAAACTTAAATTATAATTTTTTAATCGCGTTTTTTTCTGTAAAAGTCACAATTGCGGGTTTATGTAAAAGCGGCTAAAAATGAAATTGTCAGAATTTCACTTATTTTATTCGGGTAATGGGTATAAAGAGAGGTACCGCTGTGAATGGTAAATGAAGTTATATGAAGGTTAACTCGGGATTACGTCTACAGTCCCTTTAAGAAATTACGTCTACAGTCCCTTTAAGAAATTATGTCTACAGTTCCTTTAATAAATTCCGTCTACAGTCCCTTTAAGAAATTACCTCTACAGTCCCTTTAAGAAATTACGTCTACAGTCTCTTTAAGAAATTCCGTCTACAGTTTCTTTAAGAAATTACGTCTACAGTCCCTTTAAGAAATTAAGTCTACAGTTTTTTAAAGAAATTAAGTCTACAGTCCCTTTAAGAAATTACGTCTACAGTCCCTTTCAGAAATTATGTCTCCAGTCCCTTTAAGAAATTATGTCTACAGTCCCTTTAAGAAATTACGTCTAAAGTCCCTTTAAGAAATTATGTCTACAGTTCCTTTAATAAATTTCGTCTACAGTACCTTTAATAAATTCTGTCTACAGTCCTTTTAAGAAATTCCGTCTACAGTCCCTTTAAAAAAATACGTCTACAGTCCCTTTAAGAAACTACGTCTACAGTCTCTGTAAGAAATTACGTAGACTGATGCACTGCTGATTTTAATGTTAGAACAAATTTTGTTAATTTTACATGAAGTGTTTGCAACATGGTTAATAGACTGTAAATTAAATTTACGATATTTTAATGCAGTAATGGAGTCTTACTTACTGTAGGTATAGCATTATACAGACCATTTATGTATTTGCATCTCGCACTAGTCAAACACTTCATGCTTTTGTTACAATGGGACTCATAAAACTGGGTAACATGAAGACGACAGTATAGATACAAAGTCCTCAAAATGTGGAAAACATGTAGATGTATGTACATTGTACAAAGATTCATTCCACTTTTACTTAATTTTCAATCGGATGGCGAAACTGTTTGTTATATAACAACATCCAATACACATAAGATTGCTTAAATGTCTTCTTCCTTTTTCACAATTTTTTGGGTCCTACTGTAGTTGCGTATTTCCTGCTACTACAGTGGGTAGGCGATTTTTTTCAATATAATACAGACGACTTTTTATTTAAGTTTTTGTTGTTAACAAGCTTTTTTCGAATTTTAAGTGTAATAGTTTAATATTAAAGATAAGCTTTTTTAATTGACAGTTTCTCTTTTTTTCATATTTTTGTGTAGCAATACTGTTTAAAGCTTGAGATAAATCAAAATTTAAATAAAAAAACGTCTTCATTAGTTTGATATAATCGCCTACCACCGTACAAGTTGTGCATTTATGCTAGCTTTACTTCTCATGCCGCTCTGGTTTACATAAAGGATTATGTAAATCATGGTTCTTATAAAATGATGATTTTGCGCCAATTTTTTCCTAATTTCTCGGTCCATCTTTTAAACCTGATAAGCTGGCATCTGTCAGATGAATGTACAGATAATTATGATAGGTTGTAATTACATCAGACCATGAAGGACTAGGGGTGGTCAAGAAAAAATAAAAAAATATCAATAGCTTTCAGTTAAAAAAATAGCGGTCGTTTTTTACAACCAGCATAGCATCTACATTTGAATATTCTTGAGAATTCTAGAAAAAATGAAGAATGAAAAGGCAAATGGTTAAAAGGTACCCTAGTGAATCGGTCATCTATTTATTCGTATTTTTAGCGAGGCACCCTGAAGATTATAAAATAACTTAAATGAGTGGAATTTTACAGGTTTCGTATCCGTGGAGGGTAAAAACATTTAATTTTGATCATTTTGATAATTTACATAATAGTTTCCTATGACCAGAATATTTCATTGATTTTTTATGTAAAAGATGGACTTTTGTTTACATTACCGCCCAGAGACAGTACACTGCAGTACAAAAACAAAAGATGCGCACACCTCTGAAATAACTTTCCTTTTGCATTATAAACTTGTCTGGCGAGTAGGTTGTATAGAGAGGTTACAGAGCACAACAAAATACAACAAAAAATCGGCACGCGAAAATTTTTCTCCTTATATAAATATGAAAGTAAAGTTAGTAGCAATCAACATCGATTCCAGCATATACCCCCCCTTTTATTTTTTCTAGAACACTCCCTTTAATATATCATTCTTTGTGCAGGTCAACCCTGTAATATTAAGCGATCAGGATTAAGGGTATCAAACTCTAATGTTTTCAGCTAACTCAAAACTACAAGTTATAATAACTGTTACAATTTACATACACAAAAAAACATGGGAATTCTGTGACGAATTGGATATCGTCTTTGTTATGAAAGCATTGTAATACCTAATTTCAAAAGCCATAACATTATTATGTCCGCTAAGATTTATTTTATGAATAGGGTAAAAGACTGTAAAGATGTGTCCAATAATGTCTCCGCAAGATGAAAATTGTAGACGGACAAGTTTACTCTGTTTGTATACTGCAATTTTCTTGTTTTACTAGTACACCCTTTTGCAGTCAAAACATAAACAAACAAAATATGAACATAGCAGACGAAACTCTTACAGATTACAGCTTTCTCAGTAGGTATCACTTTACTAAATCAAAGAATTATTTAACAAGACGATATCGAATTCGTCATTGAATTCCCATGTTTATTGGGACACCCTGTACATCCAGATTGCTATAATAAGTTTTATAATTTAAAAAAATTTGAATTTGACAAGAAACAAAAAACAAGAATAACTCCGTCATTTTTGATTAAACAAAGGTTTAAGGTTACTAACGTTAATTGGAAAGTAGTTCACTTTCAGAACCTTTCAGTCTTTTGAAAAGAAAGAGCGAAGACGACCATCTTTCCGCTTTTATTGGTTAGCACTCTATCACTGGAGATTGCTTGAATTGCGCAGTTGGTGTTGTAATTGAACTGATAGAAATCGAAACAGAATTAATTTCAAGACAGTTAAATGCAGAGATAGCAATGAATTCAATCCAATAAATCCTTATAAAAATACCAGCTTTAACAGGAATTCAAAGCTCTTCATTCTATTCAAACAACTTCTCATAAATACATTGTATTTAGAAAAGTAACAATTTTTGCTTTAGACTCTGTAAGTCGCCATCTTTAAACGTTTTCAAATTTTCGAGGATTTTTCCGTTTGAATTGGTTCATATTGGTGCAAAATAATGAGTTTTCACATTTTTCCGAACAAAATTTGTCAAAATCGACCAACCATAAACCTTTCCCTGGGGTCGTGTGACAGACAGCCAAGATATATATATTATACTGATAATATGAGAAATCTCATTCATTTAATTTTTAGCAAAGACACAAGGATTAGATCGAAA